CTGGAATACCTATAATCCTTATGTTGGATTTCCTAATTGAGTCGGATATTTCTCGGAGAGTTTCTTCATTTCTTTTTAGTCTTAGTTCTCTTTCCTCCTCCATCTGGAGCATTTCTGCATTGCTGTCCTCAATATTGCTAATTATTTCCTCTGTATTGTCAGCTCTGATGCTTAAGGCTTCCAGATTTGTCTTTGTCTCCTCTATTGTGTTTTTCATCTCTAAGATTTCTGATTGGTTTTTTTTTATAGTTTCAATCTCTTTTGTGAAGAAACTCCTGATTTCATTGAATTGTCTGTCTGTGTTTTCTTGTATTCCATTAAGCTTTTTTATGATGGCTATTTTGAATTCTCTCTCGTTAAGGTTATACATTCTGTGCTTTCCGTGTTGACTTCTGGGTGCTTGTCATTTTCCTTTTGGTCTGGAGATTTAATATATTTTTGCATGGTGCCTGTCGGTGTTGACCTACTTTTCCTCATAGTGAAAATATATGGTCGCAGTTTCCTCTTGCTGCCGCTGGGTGGGGGTCAAGGGCTGTGTATTCTGTCCCACTTCAATCTGCGGGCACTCTTGTCAGCCCCTTGCTGATCTGAAGTGTGGCTGAGCAGAGGCTGCTGGGGGGGAAGCATGGGAACAGCTAGAGCTGGAGCGTGGGAACAGCTGGGACTGGAGCACAGCTAGGCCAAAGCAGCTGGGGCTCAGGTGCGGGTGGGTTGTAGCAGCTGCCAATGAAGTGCTGCTGGGCCAAAGAAGCTGGAACTGGAGTGTGCTGAGCTGAAGAAGGAGGAACTGGATCACCACTGGGCCAAAGACGCTGGAACTAGAGTGCACTGGGCCAAAGTTGCTGGTGCCAAGTCAGCTGGAGCCTGCACACAGGCCAAGCTGAAGAAGCTGGAGCCGGGGGGGGGGGAGAGGGGGCGGTCAAGCTGAAGGAGCTGGGGGTGGGGCATGGTCCAGCTGAAGGAGCTGGGGCCATGGCAGAGGTGGAGCCAGGGAAGCTGGGGCTGTGGCTTGGTGCAGCTGGAGCAGCTGGGGCTGTGGTGTGGTGGGGACTAAGCTGCTGCTGCCTCTGGTGCAGGGGTGCAGGCTCACCTCACTGCTGGTCAGGCCCAGGCACCTGAGGGCCACTGCCTCTGGGGACGGGGCTGAGCTGAAGCGCCAGCACAGTGGTCCAGGTGGGGGAGGGGCGCTTACTTTCGCCTCCCAGATCTCAGATGTTTCTCAACTCCATGTGGCTCTCTGCTCTCCTGATGGGCTAGCTTATTGAAACTACCCTCACAACAGTTCTGCTCCCTCTGTTGGGGATCCCCTTGGGCTGTGAGGGGTCCTGGAGAGCACCATTTTTCACGCGGCCAGCTGCCCCTCCCCTTCCTCTGAGAGCCATGTGGTCTCAGTCTCTGGGTTGCGGTCCTTGGGGAAGGAAGGGAGCTCCTCTTACCTCCTTCCACTTACTCTGGAGATTCCAGGACCTCAGTCCTCAAGTGTATGGCTGCCTGAGTGCCTCAGATGTCCCTTGTGTTGTATGAATAGCTTCTGTTGGAATATGAATGTCCTTTTTGTTGTGTCTTAGCGGGGGGAGTTCAATGGGGGAAGCTCACTCTGCCATGATGCTGACGTCACTCAAGACAAAATTTCTTGCTGAAGGAGGAGCACATTTCCAGGCAGCACAGAACAGATCAGGATTTTCCCTGGTTTCTGGCTTAAGCAGGACTTCTGTGAACCTCTGACAGGTTGTATTAGTTTGTTGGGGTTGCTGTAACGAAGTACCACAGACTGCGTGGCTTAAAACAACAGAAATTTATTTTCTCACAGTTCCAGAGGCAAGAACTCTGAGATTAAAGTGTCACAAGGCCATACTCCCTCTGAAGGCTCTAGAGAAGCATCTGTTCCAGGCCTCTCTCCTAGCTTCTGGTAGTTCCTTGGCTTGCAGCAGCATAAGTCCAATCTTAACATAGCATTTGCCCTCTGTGAGTGTCTGTCTCTGTGTCCAAATTTCCCCTTTTTATAAGGATACCAGTCATATTGCATTAGGGTCCACCCTAATGGCCTCATTTTAACTTGAGTACCTCTGTAAAGACCCGTCTCCAAATAAGGTCATGTTCTGAGGTACTAGAGTTTGGTCTCTAACATATGTTTTTGGGCAGATATGATTCAACCCATAACACTCCCCTTGAAGCTGATCCAGAGTGCAAACTTGAGTTGAGAAGGAAAAGTACCTTGACTGCATGCAAATACAAAGCAGCCTTTCCCACCTCAGTGCTCTAGAGGCTTGAGATAAAAGCTTGGATGATAAGAAGGTGTTGCTCCGGCCGTCTGGATTGCTTCTACCCTCCTACAGAGGCCTGTTCTACCAACATAGTTCCATGACATCCGTGTCTGCCTGATCAGCAAGCGGATGGGGATATAATCTTAAAGAGCATATGAATCTTGAGTGGAAAATAAACCGAAGACTGGAAAACTCAAAAGCTTCCCAGGCAAATGACAAGGCCAGGAGGTCACCACTGTGTTAGTTGTTCATGTCCCGGGTCCTCATCTCTTACATGGCAGGAGGGAGCATTTAAGAAGATGCAATGTAGGGAAGAGACCTGCCTCACTGGGCTCAGACTCCCTGCGTGGGGAGTATGATTTACCATGGGACAGTGCGGAAGCCACTCGCGTGGGTGGAAGGTGAGTGCGTCTTCATGGTGCTCCCGCCTCTCTCAAGATGATGCCTGGAAATTCGTTTCTCTGCTTATCCAGGAGTCCTTGCCTTTTAATTTTCTTAAATGAGTGCTCCACATTTCTCTTTTATTATTGCTGTTCTGTCAAAAGATTAGGACAGGGCCAGCCCTGTGGCTTAGCGGTTAAGAGTGAACGCTCCGCTACTGGCGGCCCGGGTTCAGATCCTGGGCGCGCACTGATACACCGCTTCTCCGGCCATACTGAGATGGCGTCCCACATACAGCAACTAGAAGGATGTGCAACTATGACATACAACTACCTACTGGGGCTTTGGGGAAAAAAAAAGGAGGAGGATTGGCAATAGATGTTAGCTCAGAGCTGGTCTTCCTCAGCAAAAAGAGGAGGATTAGCACGGATGTTAGCTCAGGGCTGATCTTCCTCACACACACACACACACACACAAAAAAAACCATTAGGACATTTTTAACTCTTTCTAGGGATTCTCATCAGCCACGAATTTAAAAAACCAATACCTTATTACTGAGTGGAGGATGGAAAGGCAGGGGAAATCCACATGGTCCGTGTAACCCTATTTCACAACCTTCTCCTCTGTGCCTAGTGAGGATGCCAAATTCTCGGTCAATATTCAGCTCCCTTTTCAATGTGCGCGCCATCTCTTCTGTCTCCTGAAGGGGGCGTTAAGCGGCACGAGGCGGTGTGGGAAAGGCATAGGGACCAGACTATGAGCAGAGGGCTCCTGGTGGTGCTTCCTGGTGGAGATGGGTGGAGGTGGGCACCTGGTTAGGCTGAGGGACAGGGAGCCTAGTTTTAGGGACAGCAGAGTGAACCGTTGGGAGTGCCCTTCATAGATAAAAGCAAGTCCTCTTTTTTGTTTTCTCTCCTAGAATGTAGCTGCCTGCGTGTTCCTCCCCCACCTCTCTATTCTTGCCTCACACACCCTCCCAGTGTAACAGTGGGATACTGTGATTTATGGTAAAATATGTACTTGGTCTTCAACCTGGTTCTTGGCACAAAGCTCCTAAAACTCTAGGAATTTCCTAAGCGAAATTCCTGCCAACACCTTGATGTTAGCCCCATAAGACTCACCTTGGACTTTTGGCCTCCAGAACTGTAAGAGAATCAACCAGTGTTGTTTTAGGCCACTACGTTTATGGTAATTTGTTACAGCAGCTGCAGGAAACCGTATACCACAAGAACCCACAACAAGGGAATTGAATGAGTCTGGGGAATCAAGGAAAGGTAGATCCTCCCTATTCTTTTATTTTGCATCCACCCTGGGTGGGGGCAGTAAGGGGTGGTGGGTCTTCACAGATCACTAATTCTTCAGTGTTGGGAGAGTCGTGGCAGCGGCCTCCATCTAGAGGTTCTGGGGTTGGAGGCAGCTTCGATGCCCAGAACAGAGCACTGGATTTGCACTGGAGAGCCCCATTCAAAGCCCACCTCTCCTCCCTATGGCTCAGTGGCCAGAAACACAGGGGGCCAGTGGGACAGGAGCTGATCCTCTGAACTGTTTTGCTTCAGAGGACCCCCCAAATCTGGGTCACATCCACTAGAGAGAGAGGCTGCCTGGGCACCTTGGATCCTAGTGCTTCTGCCAAAGCCCCTGTCTGCCTCTTGGGGGAGAGGGGTCCCCTCAACCTGTGACCCACAGCCTAACATGGAAGAGGCCTGCCACCCAACAGTGCTCCCCTCACAGCAAATACTGATCTGATCTTTCCCTAAGTGACTTCTACCCAAGGGCCCACCCTGTCCACTTCGCCCCTTACCATCAATTCTTCATACCACGGAGCAAAGTCTCCATGACCTGGCCTCTTGGGTTGGGGCTGGATCTTGGGAACCGACATGGCAGGGGAAATCCTATGGGGTTGGGGAATCTACCTCATGGGGGTCTGTCTCAGTCGCCCTCCCAGCACCTGGCATGGGTCCTATCCTCTCCCTGCTCCCAGGACCTCTGAGCCTGTCTCGCCTGTCTCCCATCCCTGTGAGCTGTCCCTGGTGAGTGGAGTGCTGCTCTGCTTTCCAGTCTCCAGCTCTGTCACCACATCTGCTTCCACAGTAAGGGCAACCAAGGCCGACCATGCGACTCCGAGCCTCAATTTAGGCTGACCACTAGGGCAGGTTATTTATTTTCGTTACTGGGCTCTTGGAGCCTGTGGCTGGAGTTCAGAGCAGACTGGAAAACAAAGCCGCTGCCTGCCAGCTGGAGAGAGGGGCTGCTATGGGCAGGGATTTCTGGCTGTGACAGGCTGCTTAGGAAGGGAGAGTGTGAGACTGGGTGGAGGAGCCCTCTGGTCTTCCAGAGTCAGGGAGTGGGAGGACCTCAGAAGTCCCCTCTAGTATGACTACATTTGGGCCAGATCAGTGGCGGCAGTTAACTAGAAATAGTTAACATCCAGTAGTCATGACAAGTGTCTCAATCCACAGGATAGGGTCTGACTGCCAGTGCCCAGTGCTATATGGGGCTCTGTGCCATAGAAACGGTGGGTTCAGGGTGGCCACATGGCCATTTTAATTACGCCCAGTGTGTGAGAGGATTGGGACTTGAATAGCTTGGTGGGGGAGGGGGGTGTTAGTCAAACAAAATCTAGAACAAAGTTGATTCACTGACATGGATATTTATGGAGCACTTTCTAGGGTGTGAGGCGCTGTGCTGCCCACACAGAGATGCACAGGACAAGCTTGCAGGGCACCAGGGGGCTGGGTTCGGCCAACAGGATAGGAAAGCTGATGTATCTCCCCTGGGCCACCTGTCCCAAAGACAGTGAGCTAGAAGGAGTTCAAAGGGCACATTCCACTTGGGGAGGGTAGCAAAAGCTTCAGGAGGAGGTAGCATTTGGGAAGGGTCTTTGCTGACGGATGGGATGTTAACAGGCAACAGCAGGCAAAGCAGGAGCGGGAGAGCATACGAGGCAGAGGGGACTGCAGGAGCCAAGGCAGGAGGAGGAAAGCCCAGAGGTGGCCAAGTCCAGTTTGACCGAAGAGTGGAAACCACGTGGACAGCGCTGGGAGGGGAGGCTGGAGAGGTGGCAGCATGGAGAGCCTTGGACGCGGAGCTATGGGGCTGGACCCTGAGTGAGTGGGGAGTGAAGCACACTGGTGAGTGGGGAAATGACCCAGTCAGAGCTGTTTGAAAGAGAATGTCAGGAGGTTATTTGGATATGCAAGAATCAATTTTCTGGAGTGACCTTTAAGTGGTGACCTTCATTGAGTAGCTCAACATTGCCCCCACCAATGCATTTGGGCAGCATTGAACCCCAAACTCTGCCCTACACTCCAATTGATGGGGGCTAAGAGTTCTACTGGGGGCCTTGTCTTTTTTTGTTTAGGAGTGGGGTCCTTAGTGCCAAAGGGAAGGATTCACTAGCTCTTGTGAAAAATGTCCCCCAAACACTAGTAGATGGTGTGAGCTACATTCAAACACTTAGATATTGTAATAACATGGATCTTATTCCTCCTCCCACTTCAAGCCTGTGGACAGTAGTTTCCTTGAGAGGAGCACCTAGTTTCTAGGCCTTTTACATTTAAACAAGAATAGCCTCTAATTAGCTATATGATCTTAAGCACTTTCACAGAAAGAAACATTTAATGACCATCTGCTGTGTGTCAGGCATGCTACCTGCACTTTTGTACATTATACCATTGAATAGTAATGTGCTAATACCTTTGTGTGCTCCTTTACAGTTAAATTTTACTGGAAGCTCAGTTTCTGGTTGTGTAAAATGAGAGGTTGGACAGAACCATGTCTAGATCCTTGGTCTCTAACCTTCTGCACTTCTGTGGGATAATTCTGATGTTAGAGAACAAGGATCAAGTTTAAAAAGAGGCAACTTAGAGGCCTCTCCACAGAGACTGTGGAGTTCTCATGCTTAATGCATTATAATGCACTATAACACCATCCAGAATGGGAGGGTAGGGCAGAAAACTGCCCTGTGCACCTAGAAGCTGCTCCTCAGGGCTACTGGTGAAGACATGATTCTGGGCCAGGCAGGCAGTTGGTTTGACTCAGCATGGAAATATTTTTAAGCTGTCTATCTAAACTCAGAGACTCTTCAGGAATGTAATTTTAACTTTAAAGGAATAGGAAGACATAAAATGCAGCTTTTTGATTCAAATTAAAAACACGTAAATTATCTCTGAGGCTGTATGAATTGAAAATATAAATAGGTCCTAGTTGGGTAATTTGGATAAATTCATGTCTTAGTGCATTCAGGCTGCTGTAACAAAATACCAAAGACTGAGTGGCTTAAACAACAGAGATTTATTTCTCCCCTTTCTGGAGGCTGGAAGTCCAAGATGAAGGTGCTGGCCAACTCAGTTCTTAGTGAGGGCTGTCTTCCTGCCTTGCAGACAGCCACCTTCTTGCAGTGTCCTCACATGGCCTTTCCTCAGTGTGTGTGCAAGGAGAGCGAGAGCAAGATCTCCCTCATGTCTCTTCTTATACGGGCCTAATGTCACTATGGGAGCTCCACCCTCATGACCTAATTACCTCCCAAAGGCCCCATCTCCAAATACCATCACATTGGTGGTTAGGGCTTCAACATATGGATTTGGGGGGGCACAAACATTCAGTCCATAACAATTTATATATGATACACCCAAAGGATTTCAAGAGTGCTTGGGTTATATGACTAAGCATAATAGTAAGAAACTCTTATGAGGGAGGGATTATTATTATCATTCCCATCCTTCAGGGAGGACGCTATAGAACAAAGAGATGAAGTATCTTCCCAAGTCACACAGCTAATGAGTGACAGGATTTGAAACATACTAGCCCAAAGTTCTCATGCTTAATGCATTATAATGCACTATAACACCATCCAGAATGGGAGGGTAGGGCAGAAAACTGCCCTGTGCACCTAGAAGCTGCTCCTCAGGGCTACTGGTGAAGACATGATTCTGGGCCAGGCAGGCAGTTGGTTTGACTCAGCATGGAAATATTTTTAAGCTGTCTATCTAAACTCAGAGACTCTTCAGGAATGTAATTTTAACTTTAAAGGAATAGGAAGACATAAAATGCAGCTTTTTGATTCAAATTAAAATCCATTTAATGATTTAAAAAAATTTTCCTTCTGCCTGGATATTTCCTTTTCTTCCAAGAGTTTGGTATAATGAACTTCCACAGAAACAAAACTATCCTTTCTCATTTCTCAGATTGCAGGTTCTTGTCTCAGATGAGAAAGGGACAATTTTCAGTGTCTTCTGCTAGCACTCCAAATAGTCCCTGTGGAAAAGAAGACTCCCATGTCTCAAAAAACTGAAGCAAAATACAATATGTTGTAAACCCCCAATACACTGCCCATAAATAAACCATTTGTCGCTTGAGAAATGATTTCCATCTTCACCCACAAACCTTTGCTCCTTTTCCACTAGAATAACCAGGCCCAATTTCCACAATGCTGTCACCTGGGCAAGGAGAGGTGACTTGTGGCCGTTTCACACAGGCGGCTGCTGGAGTTGAGAAAAGTACAAATGTGTGCTTGTGGGGGACATCCCTTCATGGTGGCCAGACTCACGCCACCGTCCAGGGCTCTTCCATGGAGACCAGCAGACCAGGGCTCAGGAGCCCTCATGCAGATGAGCACACTGCTGGGCTGTGAAATGGTTTGCGCTTCGGTGGCCTCTCCAGATGGGCATTGAGAGAAGCAGAGGGAAAGATCAGGCAGCAAGTCTGGTGGGCCTTGAAGCAGTGTCTACTGAGCCGTGAGATTATTTTCCTTTCAGCCTGGTATTTGCCTAAGGTCACTGGTCTCCTTCAAAATCACTCTGTTCTTGGGCTCCTTGCCAAGCTTCTTGGTCTACTTGCCAAGCAGGAAGGAGGTCAACAGGCCCTGGGGTGGGCTGGGATGCAGCCTTGCTGGCTCTCAGTGTGGGTGGAGGGTAGAGGACCCTCACTAACGTGGCATCGCTGGTCTTCTCACAGCACAGGCTGGTGGCAGTGGTGATGGATCTACTAGGATCTGTGCTATCTTAGCATATGCCTCTAGTTGAGCAATCAATTTGCTTTTTAGTCAGCTAGCGAGTAGTTTTTGAGCCACTACTTTGTGCCAGCACCAGTGGCTAGAAATGCAGACAAAAGACAAAGTCTCCACCAACAACTGTACAGGTGAGTGGGAGGCGGGCCCCTCCCTGGGGAGGGAGCTGGTGTAGCCCTGGTGGGCCCCATGCTTTGGGGGATTGTGGCGGGAAGGAAGGTGCTACTCTTTTCTGGACACTGATAAACTTCAATTTGAAAATCCCTGTTGTTAAAGAGCTTATAAATGATGCTGACATCTCAGTCTCCTTCCACGTGCAGTTATCTGGGGGTGGGCTGAGTGATCCTAGGACCTATACCCCTCTAAGGATGGGTGCAAAAATCTGTGTTGTCCAGAACAGTAGCCACTGGCCACACGTGATGGTTAAAACTTAAACTAAATAAAATTTAAAAACCCAGCTCTTCCATTACGTTAGCCACCTTTAAGTGCTCAATAGCCACATAAGGCTAATGGCTGCCATATTGAACAGAGCAGACATAGGACACTTCTGTCATTCCCGTAAGTTCCATTGGATAGTCTCCCCACATAGATCATTGCAGTAGTGAGTGGCACACCCTGGGAGAGCTATGGAGGGGAGGGGCCTATGTCAGCTGGGGTGGGGGGGTGGTGAAGCCAGCGGAGAAAGGAAAAGCTTCTCCAAGTTGCTGCATCTTAGCTGAGCCACAGTCTGAGGCTCGCGGCTCTCTCTAGGCAGGATAGAAACCAAACCTTAACTTGTCTTCACGTTGAATGTTGGTGCTCCCTGGGTCTGAGGCCTCTTCCTTCTCTTTCCACGTATCTCCCTGTGTCTTCTCCTCCACTCCATGGCTTCGTTTGCCATCTTCTTCAGAGATTTTCAGCTGAGGCTGTGTTTGTACAGTCCAGTGGATCTCAAAACTCATCAGAACCCCCTGGAGGGCTTGTTAAAAGACAGACTCCTGGGCCTCACCCCCAGTTTCTGATCAGTAGGTCTGGGGTGGGGCCAGAGAATTTTCATGTCTAACAAATTCCCAGGTGACGCTGATGCTGCTTGTCCAGGGAACACCTTTGAGAACCGTGGGTATGGTTTATAGAATCACATTCTTTGATTCATTCAATAAATATTTATTTAATGCTACCATGTGCCAGGTGCTCTTTATGTGAACAAACCGGGCAAGGTCCCTGTTCTAGGGATCTTCATTCTAGGGCAGAGAGACAGGCAGTAAAAAAGTGATGTCGGTGGGCCGGCCCGCGGCTTAGCGGTTAAGTGCACGCACTCCACTGTTGGCGGCCCAGGTTTGGATCCCGGGCACGCACCGTCACACCGCTTCTCTGGCCATGCTGAGGCCACGTCCCACATACAGCAACTAGAAGGATGTGCAGCTATGACATACAACTATCTACTGGGGCTTTGGGGGGAAAAAAAGGAGGATTGGCAATAGATGTTAGCTCAGAGCTGGTCTTCCTCAGCAAAAAAAGAGGAGGATTAGCATGGATGTTAGCTCAGGGTTGACCTTCCTCACAAAAAAAAATAAATAAATGAAACTGTTTAAAAAAAAAAAAAAGTGATGTCGGGTGGTAATGAATGTTGTGAAGAAGAATAAAGCAGGGGGAGGGGAGAGGGCTATTTTATAGGGTCATCAGGGAAGGCCTCACTGACAAGGTGACATTTGAGCAGAGACCTAAAGAAAGGGAGGGGGGCAGAGTATGACCCTGGCCTTTCTGGCCCCATTTTGCTCCATTCTCAGCTTTTTAATTTGAAAAATGAGAGTCACGTTAAAAATCAAGGTCATCAGTCTACTCAATAGCTAGGTTTTGAAGACAAACTCAATTGTGTGTATATACATGTCATTGAGAAGAAGAATGATGCTAAAGGCCATAGATTTGATCCCAGCTTGCAGTTCCACATTTGGGCCCCAGCAGCTGAGGCTCCCTCTGGGCCTCCTCTGTCCACACCCCTCTCCACAAGGTGAGGGGTCTCTAGGGCTCAGAGGAGGCTACCAGGAGCCTGTATCCCCCTTCTAGAGGATACCTTAGGATTCCCACTCCTAAATATGGCTCCAGTCTATTTCCAGAGCCTGCAGGCTTCTTCTCTGCCCATCCCCCCTAGGCCCCACTGCATAGGGGTGGGGTGGGTGGAGCTTGGCCTGGGACTTGGCATGTCCATACCTAAGTGTCTGAGGGTCCTACTGATGAGGGGTAGAACTGCAGGAGAGAGGGCCAGACTGGGCCAAGGGCTCTATTTGTCTTCTTGTCCTGGGTTCTGCAAAGATTAGAGGCAGGGCTGTCAGCCTGAACCAACTAGCTGAATGCTCCTTACCTCTATCCAGCTTTGGGGTCCAGATAGAAGAGTGTAGGTCAATCGACACTTATTAACTATTGCTGGAAAATTAAGCATATGTTGTAGGGACCATGAGTCAATAGTGGTCTCTTCATAAATAAGGACAGCTTATGGGTGGGATCCGTTCTGTCCCCTTTTATAAACACAAGCCTTGGGGCCGGCCCAGTGGCACAGTGGTTAAGTGCACGCGCTCCGCTGTGGTGGCCAGGGGTTCGCAGGTTCGGGTCCCGGGCGTGCACCAAAGCACTGCTTGTCAAGCCATGCTGTGGCAGCATGCCACATAAAGTAGAGGAAGATGGGCACAGATGTTAGCCCAGGGCCAATCTTCCTTAGCAAGAAGAGGAGGATTGGCATCGGATGTTAGCTCAGGGCTGATCTTCCTCACCAAAAAAATAAATAAATAAATAAATAAATAAACACAAGCCTTTATGATGAAGTGCAAACTGTGTGCCTTTGACATCTAATTTTCCTTTTCAATCTGTGATATCTTTTTAGGCCCAACTGTCTCAGGCCTTAAATGGAGTTTCCGATAAGGCAAAAGAAGCAAAGGAATTTCTGGTTCAGCTGAAGAACATTCTGCAGCAGATCCAGGTGAGCATAGCCCCATCGTTGGGAGGCCAGTCAGTGTAGGAAGTGTATGAGAAGTATCAAGAAGAAAGGAAAAGTCTCTTGGCAAGCTTCTTGTCCATGATGAACACGAGAAGATTTGCTTGTCCTACTGTACAGCCTCAGATGTTGCAGATACCACACACTCAAGCCATTGACACCCAGGTGACACCTGATATGGGAAAAGGATTTCACATGAACTCAGTTAGAGAGAGCTGTAGAAAGAGAGCCAGAGAGATGTACTGCAGCACTCTGCATGGCCAGGTAGTCCTATGCGGTATCTGTACATGGTGCTTTTGTTCCCGTGTAATCAATGTATCAAAATATAAATGCATTATTTCCTAAAGAAATGTATTTACTGAGCACCCATGCTGTGTCACGTACTGAGCCTGACAGATCAATAAGGCACAGTCTCTGGCCACAGGAGCTCTGTCTGTAGGGTAGGGAGAGTACACTCATGTGCTCCGTATGAGTGTGCATGCATGGAGGAACTGTTCCTCCAGAAGATGAACCTGTATGGCATTCCAGTGTCTGGATGGAGAAAAGGGACTGAGGACAATGTATTCTGAATCAGCCAATAGAAGCCATCCTTCCTAATAAGTTAAAATGCAGAATTCAGCCACAAGGCATTTTAAGTCATGTTTCTGATATTTCAGAGACACAAGATGTATTAGTTTGGTGGGGCTGTTATAACACAGTACCACAGATTGAGTGGTTTAAACCACAGAAATTTGTTTCCTCACAGTTCTGGAGGCTGGAAGTTCAAGATCAAGGTGTCGGCAGGGTTGGTTCCTTCTGAAGCCTCTCTCCTTGGCTTGTAGATGGCCGTCTTCTCCCTGTGTCCTCACATGGTCTTCCCTCCATGTGTGTCTATGTCCTAATCTCCTCTTGCAAGGACACCAGTCATATGAGATCAGGGCGCACCCTAATGACCTCATTTTAACTTAATCACCTCTTTAAAGACCCTGTATCCAAGTACAGTCACATTCTGAGGTACCGGGGTTAGGACGTCAACATAGGAATTTGGGGGATGGGAGGAGGCACAATTCAGCCCATACCACGGGTTCTGAATCCATGCTGATCTTAGAGACCTAGAAGGATTCTTTTTTAGAACTGAGAAAGATCCTACAGCAAGAGCACTGTTTCGTTTGTTTTACCGTTTTCTGATTATAAAAAGCAAAAGTATGTGTTACAGAAAATTTGGAAAGTAGAGAATAATAGACAGAACTAAGAAAAAGTTCACCAATATCTCACCATCTGAGGTGACCACCTCACCATTTTGACATGTTCCATTACTTCAGACACACACACACACACACACACAATATGTATCAGATTATGCTGTACACAACTTGTAGTAGTCTGCTTTTTTTTTTTCTTTCTAGCAGTCTCATAAGCATTTCCCATGACATTAAAAATTCTTTGAACAAGGTCTGAATGACTACAGAATATTCCATCACACAGATGTGCTGTGATTCATGTACCCCTCCCCTAATTCATATTTACGCTGTTTCCAATTTAATAACTTTACGGCTAACGCCAACACGAGCTTCTCTGAAATACTTCTTTGTCTCCAGCACTTGCTAGATTTCAGCGTGTCTTTTCCCTAAAGCTCTCTGCTTCCCCCAGGAAAACGGACTGGACTATGAAGCCTGCCTGGTTGCTCAGTGTGATGCGCTGGTCGACGCTCTGACTCGGCAGAAAGCCAAGCTGCTCACCAAGGTTACTAAAGAGAGGGAGCACAAGTTGAAGGTAGGTACCCAGGTGACTGACACCCTCAGTCCCCATCACAGCCTCAGCAGCCAGCATGCAGTGGAGCACACAGTAGGCACTGGGTCAGTATTAGTTAAGTGAATGAATGAATGAGGCAAGGAAGGGATGAGCAAGCTGCCTTGGGCTTACTTACACACATGTGACTTTCCCTAAAGCCAGTCAACACCCATGCTTTCCCTCCAAAGCTAGAGTCAGATGCCCTGAATTCTGCTGTTTTCAAGTGAGAAGTCCACCCTCTCCCATCTTCTCTGAGTTCCTGTTTTCTGTCTAAGGGACTCCTCCTGTTCTCATCTTGCAGAGCAGTGACAGTGACAAGGCCTTGCTCTGCTCAGGTCTCCAGCTCTGCCCCCCTTTTCAGGGTCTCTCTGATGTCTCATGAACTCAATAGTCAGCAATAATAGTACAACCAATATCCACCATGGGCTGGGAGGGTGGTTCTCCTCACATGACACTGGGTTCCTGGTCCAGACAGGAGCCCCATGAACACTTGGCATTGAAGGACTGCTTCATTGTCCGGGGCGCTCGATCTATTTTATAGACATTTCCCACTGAATCAGAATTATTACTTTCAAAGAAAGAAGGAATGAGTATGGGAGATGGTCCATGGTTTACAAAAAGCAGGTGAGCCCATCGAGTTATCCATGACTGCCAACAAGTAACAAGGGAGACAGAAGTTGGTCACCGGTCATGTGGAGAGTTTCAGATTATGTACTTTCTCTGCTTTTCTATCCAGAGGTCAGGAAGTTTGCTCGTTGTGGCCCCGCTTGTTGGGAAGTGGGTTCATTTTATTCCCCAATAAGGAGGGCACATGGAACTCAGGAGCAGAGCAGTGAGAGGAGAGGGTGCAAGCTGGTCTAGACAGTGCTGCCTCTTCCAGGGCTTTCTCTGTGCTGTTTCTCTGACTCTCGCTGCAGCCTGGCTGCTCTTCTCTGATGAGATGGTTACTAGGGATTCTTTTCATCACAGATGGTTTGGGACCAGATCAATCACTGCACATTGAAGCTGCGCCAGTCAACAGGGCTGATGGAATACTGCCTGGAGGTGATCAAGGAGAACGACCCCTCCGGGTTCCTACAGGTGAGCCCACTCCCAGAGGACACTATGCAAGCTTGGCTTTCTTCCTCTAACTCCACCACCGCTCCTCAAACTAGCCAAAGTTTTAGGAAGGTCCCTTCCAGTGGATTGGAGTTGAGTAGGTTCTCCTTTATTCAGTGATTCCGGAAGACCTAGGTTCTTATCTTGACTTTGCCTCTCACTAGCTGTGACCCTGGCTCTGTGTCATCGTTAAATGAGGAGGGCAAATGTCATACTCTCTAGGGCCAAAATGCCATGCATTTATGCTTTGACTTCCAGAGACCCCAATTCAACATGTTCCCCACAAACGGGACATGACAGTCTTTGCCAAACAAGCTGGAAAGATTGCACTGGAAGAAGTGAGTTAGCAGAATCTACACTGTCCGTTACTTCAGTGTGCAGAGTCCTGCAGGCTTGGACAAATGACCACTGCCTGCAGAGCCAGTGCAGCATTGCTGAGGCACCCCTCCAGCAGCCAGGCTGACTGGAGGTCTGAAGCATCTCTCAGGAATATGGCAGTGATTCAGACAGGAGCTCAGTCCTCTGTCTGTGGGGAAAATGATGAATTCCCTTGATTAGTCACCAAAAAGGGTACACAGGATCACGGCTCTACAGGGACACGTGCGAATGTCTGAATGAGCAGGACTTTCCAGCAAAGGAGAGCAGAGCTGTGGGTGTGATGCAGTGAGAGTTTGGAACAGAATCTGCAGAATGACCTGAAGGACACACCCCAGGGGGAGTGAGCTTCAGAATTCTGGGGCTATGGGAAGTGCTTTTTTCAGCCCCTGGACCAAACTACTCATATGTTTCACTTTGCAAAGTAGATTTCCAAAAGAGGTATAATGAATGAAGAACGCTTTTGTATATTTTAAAAAGTATCATTGGCTTCCCAAAAGAGTTTAGCCTAATTTCTTTAAACAAGCAAGTGCTTCTTTACATTTAACATGATTGCACTATTAAAATACGATTTAAACAGTATAATGCATTTTTTACTCGCCCAGTGTCAAACTGGCAGAGGCCATTTCATCTCCTCACCACTTGCCGCACGATTTTGCCTTTGCGAATCGAAACCCTAAACTCTGTGCTCCCTTCAAGATCTCGGACGCCCTGATCAAGCGTGTCCAGGTGTCTCAGGAGCAGTGGGTCAAAGGCGCCCTGGAGCCAAAAGTGTCAGCAGAGTTTGACCTGACGTTGGACAGCGAGCCGCTGCTGCAGGCCATCCACCAGCTGGACTTCATTCAGATGAAATGTAGGGGTGAGCCGTGGTTGGCCCAGTTCAGTCAGTGCTTCTTTTGGAAGAAGCATCCGCTCTGAGGGGGCAGCTTAGCGCCATCAGAAGGCTTGTGATATGTGGCATGAGGTGGACTGGGAGGGGAGGGACGCCGAAGTCACAGCCCTGGGTTCAAGTCCCAGCTCGGCCACCCACTAGCTGGGTGACCTGTAGCACCCCAGTCAGAGCCCGAGTCTTCCCATTTGTAAAAGAGGCTCATCTGTTCCTTAGAGACACTTATTGAGTGTCAGCCATGTGCCAGGCGCCATTCTAGGTGCTCAGGACACATAAACAAGGCTACAAACTCCCTCACAAGATTGAGTTGACATTTTAGAGAAGGAAATAGACAATATACCAACAAAGCTATAACATAATGTCCAGTGGCTGGTGCTATAGGAAGGTGCTTTTCCAGAAAGGGGCAGTGGTGGACGTGTGAGGGGTATTTTGAGGCGAGGGGGAGGAGAGAGATGCAATATAGGGGAAGAACATTCCAGGCGGCAGAGGGATGGCAAGTGCCGAGGCCCTGAGGCAGGAATAAGTTTTCTGTGCTCCCAGAAGGTCAGAGGTGAGAGCAGACTGAACAAAGCAGAGGATGGTAGGAGGTGAGTTCTGAGAGCCATGAGGGACACAGGCTAAGGGTTAAGTAAAGTTTTCATAAGTTGTCCCAGGTTACAAAATTAGCAAGTGCTGGCCAGAACCAGAGACTTGTTCTAAAGGCTGCCTCTCCAGAGGCATCAAGGGTACATTCAGGAGAGGGAATAAAGCTGTTTGGTTTTTTAAACCAAAATATCTAAGGACTCAGTGCCAAACCTACAGAATATGTGAACTCAGGAAACCCTCACGTGCACAATATGTGGCCATTTTTAAACTAAAGAAGAAGCAAGTCTCTTGCACACCTCCATGCTCACTCCTACGCTCAATTTGCACCTCGGATGAGGTTTGGAAACACTGCCTGACCTGGGTGTCACTGAGAGGTGATGCTGAGGAGCAGGACGAGCCTGGCAGAATGGGGGTGGGGGAGGGCGGAAGGGGGGTGGCTCTGGAGAGTGCGGTGTGGAAGGAGGAGGCTTGGAACTGTTCCAGAAGCTGGGGGTAGTGGAACCCACGGAGGAAGCAGGAGAGAGGACTCTTACACACAGTAAACTGAGACCTGGGAATCAGGCTGCACCCAGTCAGCCCTGAGACCAGATCCGTAAGCAAGCCGGGGGCTGCACCCAACTAAACCATCAGCTGAAATCTGGGAGACAGTGCCTTAGTATTTGGAGCTAAACTGAAATCTGTAGTTTTTTGCAAAACTAATGTTGCAATTTTCCCTTTAATAAATGTTACGTGGACTCTATTTATTTCTAAAATCTCTTGAACCTGAACACAACTAGAAAATAAAAACATTCTCCCAATCTGGCCTTAATAGAACTTATGATACATTTGATTCAAATCCCTGATTCCATGGGTTGACTATATGAAACTCTGAGATTGCCTCTCCTTCCCGGATTTAGTTCCCTGGGCCTTTAAAAAGCTCCCAGCCAAAGATTTAAATGTGTCTTTGCATTTTGCACCCCCCAGTACCTCCCCAGTCCCAGGGTAAGCTGCAGGCTGGCCCTGCAGAGAAGGTCCATATAGGCTTGTGCTGTGACTAGGAGGCACACGGAATACGGCTCTGTGGGAATTACTCATGAGTTTCTCACGGGTCTGAGGGTCAAAACCAGTGATTCTCAGTGGGTGGGTGAGGAGGGAGACAGCCCTTCCTTAGGGCTACAGACTCAGAGGGGTGGAGGCATCTGCCATGCCTCTCCCGCCTCCCCCAGATTCCAGGACACCCTCTAGGGGTGAGAAGTACACAGTCACCTCACCTCGCTTGCCCTCACCCCAGCCTGCCTTGACACTGAGACTCCCAGGGCTGAAGTGTGCATACGAGAGGCTGAGAGTGACCACAGGGTGGCCAGTGAGAAAATTCTGCCCCTTTTCCTTCCGGGGGTCAGGGGTCCCAGGGATGGGGGAGGGGGTGCAGGGGTGTGCCCGGGCCCTGCAGAGGGTGTGGTGCACTAAACCCTGCCAGTCCCTGTCACAGTGCCGCCCGGCCCCCTGCTGCAGCTAGAGAAGTGCTGCACTCGCAACAACAGTGTCACGCTGGCCTGGAGGATGCCGCCCTTCACCCACAGCCCCGTGGACGGCTACATCCTGGAGCTGGACGATGGCGACGGGGGGCAGTTCCGGGTGAGGCCCTGCTGCTTGTTTGGGGGTGTTCTAATGCGGAGGCCGGGAGTGGCTCGAGTTGCCCCGGGCTTTGGACTAGCCCGTGGGGCTGCCCGTAGCTCCGATGCCACCAGAGAGGGCATCGGCCCCAAGGACAGAGAGCTGGTGGGTCTGGGCTCGCAGGAGATGGGCCTTCCCTACCGAGGGCTCGGTGTGGCCAGGCCCAGCAGGCAGAGGTGGGGGCCACAGAGAAAATTTGAGATGACTTTTCGGTGAAGACTGACACAGGTCTGAGGCTGAGGTAGAGCTCAGAAAAGGTGTCAGCTGCACGCACCTGCTTCCCAGTTCACCCCACCAATCCAGTCATATCTATTCTTCGACATCCTCCCACACGTTCCCCCTCACGCAGCTCCCCACTCCCTGAATGTTCTGTCACACCTTGCCTTGCCTGGTTCACTAATTATTTTACCTGGCAATGTGCTCCACGTGTGGAAGACACTTGAAAAATGGCTGTTGGAATGTGGTGACCTTCTACATTCACATCCCCAGTGATGAAATATCTCGGGGACAATAAGGACTCTGAATGAGCCAGAAATGCCTCTTCCACGTCCCCATCTGGTAGAAACCCTGAGAGCCCCCCACGCCAACCCAGACCCCCTAGTAGAGTCTACACTGAGATTCAGTGAAGTGCGGGCTGCTGTCAAGTTGTTTTGTCGACATGAGCACCAGGGAGCACAAACTCTGGGTCTTCTTCGAGCTCCTCCTTTCTAGCCCCGAGAAGAATAAAGACTCATTCTAACAAATCACTGCAGTATACAATTCTGGTATTTCTTCTCCTGGGGAGTTACCCGTTTGACAGATCTTGTCCAGGGTCAATATTCCTTTTTTTAATCTCAAAGGGATTTATGCAAATATCGTTTCATTTTTTGTTTGAAAGAATACCCTACACGATATTAAGAGTGGGGAAATAACTCATGCTGTCTTGGGAATTTCTGAGTCCCTTGTGAATATGGGCAATTTAGGGAAGTGAGAAGATGAGGTAGATTTAGCCAGGAATGGTGGATCATTCACTGGGTCCAGAACCTCAGTCATTCCGGGTGTGCAAATGCACTAGGAGCTGAAAGAGCTCCTTTACCAGAAACCAGGAAGAGAGCCCATGTTTTTGAAAGGGGAAGAAAGAGAAGACTGTTTTGAGATACTAAAGGAAGCAGCCACAGAGCTCAAATAAAGATGGCTTCTCCCCTTTTAGACATGGCACTAATAAGAGCCAGATCCAATGGCTAGAATTTATGAGGAACAGTGTGTTATGGTGGGAAAAGCATTGGCTTTGAATACAGACAGGCCTGGATTCAAATCCTGGCTTCTCACTGGGTTAACTGAGATCTTGGGCAAGTTCTCTACCATCTCCGAGTCTCCTTGTGCACAAAATATGAAAAATTATAACAATGTCCCAGGGTTGTGTGGGGATTAAGATGCCTCACACAATGCCTGGCACATTGCTTTATTATTAGTAGCTTGGAAGAACAAGTGAAGTGTAACCCCCCTCAACAACCAAGCAGGAAAGATGTTTTAGACAAACCCAGCAGAATCAATGACACAGGAGAGATGTAGTGCTATGCATTCAGGGGAGTTAATAGGACAAGGGTGGTTTGAAGTGAATGGGGAACGAAGTAAACCCCTAGAAGAGGATCTTTGGAGTCCCATGCAGAAATGTCTCACCCTCTCAGCAGGCCAGGAAAAAAGCAGCTCCGGGGGGGGGGGTGCCAAGGAGTGGAAGATGCCAGCCTCAGGAGGGGAGACGCTGGGGAGGGGGTGGAGCACCCTTCTCACTCCAGAAGTGGTTTCAGCTTAAATCAACTTGAACCCCCCTGTGCTTGGTCACGCCTTTCCTCTGTCTACTTTTTCCCATCATGTGTGATGACTCTTCTTTTAAAAATATTGGTTATTTTGTTTATTTAGATACTTAGCTCATGTTCTCTAACTTAAATTCCCATTGGAAACCAACAATCTTCTATTGCTCCGAGAAGGCAGTGGGGTCTTCTGCACCTCCAACCCCCTGGAAGAGTCAGTGTCCCTGGGCTCCAGAGTCCTGTCTGACAGGACTGACCTCAGCAGGATGCTCTCAGGCAGCATCTGAGCTGGCTGCAGACCTGCGGTCCCTCCCTCCCACCCCAGGACCCCGTCATACCTCACAGCCTCGAAGGCAGAGGGGCCAGTCAGCCAATAGTGAGGGTTCCTGCCCACTGTGGACGTGGTCTGTGACCCTGCCGCTCTTCATCCAAATAGTCCTTATTCAATAACTCCATTGAGGTGACAGTGCTTTTAATGTTAACATGTTGCCCAGGAACCATTTGCTCAGAGAAATTTTCCAGATAACAGAGGCGTCTAATGAGCAGTCTTGGCTCTCTTTTAGGAAGTGTATGTCGGCAAGGAGACCCTATGCACCATTGACGGTCTTCATTTCAACAGCACCTACAACGCCAGAGTCAAGGCGTTCAACTCCTCTGGCGTCGGGCCCTATAGTAAAACTGTCGTCCTGCAGACATCTGATGGTGAGCACGGGGTCTCTCATGGGAGAGCAGGCTCAGGCTGTGGATGAGCTGCTAAAGGAGGAAAATAGGGCCCCAAGTCTAACCCACATTTCATCCCTTGGACGGGAAAAAGCTAACAGCTGCTTATGGAAGAGTGAGGGAGTGGAGGCAATGAGTCAGGCAGTGAGGCATACACACCTCCCGCCAGCCCTGCCCTGCTCTGCTCGCACCCGGCTCCTTGCCCACACCATCCTCCCCGCAAGCCACCAAAGAAAGAGACATTCCTTCGCCCCATTTGCTGGACGTGGGAAAGGAGACTAGAAGTTGAGAGGCTCAGGGAGACTAAAGTCCCACTGGGAGTGGGCAGGACAGCCCCAGAGAAGAGAAGGCTGCACGGCGGCCAGGCAGGCACACGCCGGGCCCTAGGTTGGAGACTTCCTCGCAGCGGGAACCTACCCCTCGAATACCCCGTGCAAGAGCTCAGGTCTGATGGTTTACACACCTGCCTGTGTCCTGTCAGGTTTCAGGCAACAAGAGAACACCAACAGTCCGTCAGATTTTGATTGTCTGAGCCCTCAGTGGAAAGCAATGATGTAAATAAAGAACACATTCCGAAGACAGTCGGCCCTGCTGAACCGGGCACACTCCAGCCCCAGGTGCTGGGGTTCCAGGATGGTGCCAGTCCTGTGTTTACTGTCATCCTTTATCCCAGCACCTCCTCTGACTGCCCTGAGAAGAACATGACATGCCTGGATTGTCTCCCAGGGACAGAGAGGAGAGAGGACAGGAGCAGACGCTGCTGTCAATGGCACAGCTGGGGATGCTTTCCTGAAAACAGTGCAGCCTGCAGTCCTTTTATAAACCGCAAGGAGTTCACTAGCTTTCTGCCCTCAGGAGCCCTGCTGCCTGGAGACAGCCCAGTCTTGCCTCGTGCACTGTGGTCATCATTTTAGAATAAGGGCCTCATTTCCCACAACCTGAGGGCTTCAGAGAGCAAGAGGGGGTGCCACCCAGGGGGCTGTGAAACGAGAGAGTGGAGCTTTGTGACTCTGGTTACATCACTTCACTTCTCTATGTCTGAAATCTCCCACCTACGAGGTGGGGCATGGAGACCTACTTCTTCTTTAACTCACAACAGTGTGTGGAAGGGTTCAGAAACCAAGATGCCATGAAGTGCATTTAGATTTGGGGCTTTGAGGCCTGAATGTCTGTTTTCCTCAGCAAGGTTGGGTTCATGGGATAGGGAACTTGGATGGACACAGATAAGGAAATGTACATGTGCATGTGTGTGTGTGAGTGTGTGCATGTGAATCATACAGGGAAAAGCATCTGATGTGGGTGCCAACTTTCTGAGAGATGCAAGTGAGTCTGTCTCTGAGCCCGGGGCAGAGACTGCTAGCGAATTCTATCCCCTGACTCTTCTCCTCTTGCCTCCTTCCTTTCCAGTGGCCTGGTTCACATTTGACCCCAACTCTGGGCACCGGGACATCATTTTATCCAATGACAACCAGACGGCCACCTGTAGCAGCTATGACGACCGGGTGGTGCTGGGCACGGCCGCGTTCTCCAAGGGCGTGCACTACTGGGAGCTGCATGTGGACCGGTACGACAACCACCCAGACCCCGCCTTCGGCGTGGCCAGGGCCAGCGTGGTCAAGGACATGATGCTGGGCAAGGATGACAAGGCCTGGGCCATGTACGTGGACAACAACCGCAGCTGGTTCATGCACTGCAACTCCCACACCAACAGGTGCGCTGTGGGCCCCACCCCCTCGGACGTGGGGTGTTTGGGAATGAGGGTCCTGTGGGACCGTGTCCCTTCTGCTGTTCCCAAGTTCGGCCATCAGGAATGTGGGGGAGGTGTTTTCAGCCACTTTGGTGTCCAGCTTCCAGGTACAAGTGACTGTTTGCCTACAGCCAACTGAGAGTATGCAACAGAGACAGGAACAGCACCAGCGAACAATTTCCAGGTTCTCGGCAACACGGCCAGGTTTCGCCAGGCTTCTCAACTTGGGTTCTTTTCCGGGCTCTGCTCCGCTTCCTTCACACACCGTCAGCCTGAGCTTGAGTCACTGCAGGGCCAGTGCCCCCACAGCTGAGACCAGGTCTCTACAGAAGGAGCAGGTGCCATTGCCACGGCTCATCATTTAGCTGGAGTGACCCCTCCTGCTGCCCGGCCTCGCGTGGGCTTTGAGCCTAGGCGATGCCCTCCAATGGGGCTGGCCCAAGAGGGGCAGGCACTGTTGGGGTGCTCATTGCTGATGGCTCTGTCAAGGGCACCCCCAGCGCTGCTTCACCTTGGGGGTGGTGTTACAGGGTGGACACAGGAAACTCAGATCCTGGGAAAGACGCGCCCTCTAAGGCTGTCCTGGGAAGATGCTCCCACTGCCTGGGCCCCTCTAGGGACTTGTGGGCGCCTTGGTCTCTCTCCTCAGACACAGAGAAGGCAGTGGGCCCCCCACCCTCCCATCATAGCTCAGCGCTCTCTTCCTCCTCCCCCCAGGGATTCTGTGCTCACATCTGGCCTGTGTGTAGGAAGTGGCGGGCACGGAAAATCCTTGAAACCAGCACTGGCCAAGGAACCCAGAAATGGAGAGTTGTGCCCACTTGAAGCCACCTCCTCACTGTGGGGTCTCCTTTCTGGTCTGCTAAGGGCACTTTCCCCCCAGGAGCGGCAAGGAGCCAATCTCACTAGGCCCCAGCTCGGGGCAAAGTCAGCTCTGGAGGCTCTCAGTACTCTGGGTGCACCTGCAGTTCCTGCAAATGGTCCCAGAGGTCCTGGTCTGGGGCAGGGACTTGCCTGAGGATCCCCAAGGGAGCTGGAAGCTTCCGGACCTCTCCCACCTGCCTTTTCCCTGACAGTGACCCCTATCTCCAGAGGCCTGGGGGAGGGGTAGGCAGCTCTGTCCCTCTGCCCCCTCTGCCTGGGCCCTACAGGCTATCTGGGCGCTGCAGGCTGTCCAAGAGTGCTGTAGGCTGCCCAGGCCCTGCAGGCTGCCCAGGCCCTGCTCCCTGCTCACAGACTACAAAGCCACTGAGTCTGGGCCCACCAGCTCCATCTCTGCTTGCTTAAGCCAAACTGGCACCCAGATATACTGTCTGCTGGTGGGAGTAATAACAGGGAGCATTTATTAAGCGCTTACTTTGTGTCTGGGACAGTAGGAAGCACCCAGCTTATATGATCTCGCTTAGTCCTCAGAAAAGTACTATTGTTATCACCATTTTACAGATTCTGAGACTGAAGCGTAGAAACAGTGGCCCAAGTCCCAGTGCTAATTAGTGGTGCTGTCAGGGTTTAACTCAGTGTCCCAGCTCCGGTTTTGTGTGTGTGGTGGGGAGACTGGTGGTGGGGTGCAGAGGGGAGCAGAGGCCTCAGGGTGGTGCCACCAGCGCTGACCTCAGGTGGAGGCTGCGCTTGGGTGGGAATCACATTCCTGTGCCTCAGACTAGTCCCTACCGCCACCCTGTGGTCAGTGTCCAAATAGCACCAAGGGCCCTGTTCCGGTTCCCTATTCCCACCTGCGTATCCTGCTCTGGGGCCCAAACACACTCTCTGGGAAAAACACCCTTCGAATCAGCCCACTGAGTCCTCTCCACGACTTTCCCATGCACTCTGCCCCACCATCAGCCTCCAGCTCACTCCCAATCAGGAAAGGACAAAAATGGTTTTCTTATCAGAGCAAAGCAGAACAGTCTTGGTCAAGGTGAAGACCTCAACCCTCCGCTAAGGGAAAGGACAGTCTGATGGACTCAGCCCACCTGGAGAGGGCAGGTCAACCAGGGCTCCCCAGAGAGAGCTGCTCCCTTAAAGATTCTTCCCCGCCCAGTGGATATGCATTCCCACCACCACAAAACCAGTTTCACTGACACTGATCAAGAGCTTCACAATTTACATTCTCAAGGCTCCACTGTTGGTCACCTATCAAATGGTGACTCAGATAGGGGACGTGATTCCAGATTTAGTACCTGTTCTCTGCCATGTGCTGCCTTTCAAGAGTCCCTGGGATGTTTCTAGGAAGATGACTTGAAGCAGGGTTGGGCCTCTCAAAATCTCCTGGAGGCCTGGATGTCTGCCTCTTTCTCCATCTCGACATCCTCACCAGGCTAACACTATAAAGGGCACCAAAGTAGTGCTCTTCCTTGGCAGGTAAAGGAGCCTTCCCTACCCATGCTCCATGCTCCACGTTTTCAAGGGGGACCCGCTCATCAAAACCCTAACTGCCTGGGTGTCCAGGTCTCAGACATTGTCAGGAAAGAAGGGACTGAATAACCTGGTTCCTGTAGGGTGAGGGACCTTACATGAAAGGTAAGGTCTTTTTGTGTGGCCCTTGAATAGGTGAGTGCACTTCAAAAGAAGGCTCATAAGCCCAGAAGAATAGCTCCCTGCACCACCATGGGAGCTGTGTTTTTTAGGTAAGGTTGTTCCCAGCATCCTTTAAGTGATGCTCTTGAGCCATCACCTACACCCCAGGCAAGGTGTGGTGATGGGGCTTCCTGGGGCTTCTCTTCCCAGGACGGAAGGCGGTGTGTGCAAGGGGGCCACTGTCGGCGTGCTGCTGGACCTCAATAAGCACACTCTGACCTTCTTCATCAACGGGCAGCAGCAGGGCCCCACAGCCTTCAGCCATGTGGACGGGGTCTTCATGCCAGCTCTCAGCCTCAACCGCAACGTGCAGGTACAGTGCACCCGTCTGGGCCAGAGCCCCTCTGGCTGCTCCCCCCGCTGCCTAGGGCACTTGGACAAAGTGGGCTATAAAGAAGCTGACTGCAGTCCCTGCCCAGGCAGAGGACTTACCTACCAGCCCACCTGGGGTGTTCCCTGGAGACAGTCCTCTCTGGCATGATAAATTCTTACTTGTTCACTTGGAGCAAGCAGAGGCTCTAAGGTGGCAGCTTGAGGAGAGGCAATGGAAGGGAGAGGGGAAGAGGATGGAGTGGGGAAGCAAACAGTGATTCCATTCTCTAGGAAAGCTGCAATAGAGGCGTTAAGCAATCAGGGGGAAAGTCAGTACCCCCTGCCCAGCTGGGACCCTGCTGGCCAGGTATGTGCTGGGGCCTTCAGGTGGGGGAATGTCAAGCCTTCATGTGGCTTTCCCTGAGAGGAGAAATAACAAAGGAGAGCTGGGGAGAGACCAATCCTAGGGTGCTGTGAGACTTCTCTTGCTCCCTCTTACCCCTCCCTGGCTCCCACATGAAGCTGGGCCCAGTCCTAGGGGAGTACTGATGGCTCCAGAGGCCCCCAACGGACAGAGACAAAATGGGAGCCCAGTGAGAGTGAGGGATGGAGAGAAATGTGGAGGCTCCATTCTTTGTTCCTAGCAGAGTCCTCCTCCCCCTGAGGAGTATGGTGGGGGTGAGCGGAGGCAGAGTCCTGCTTTGTGGTGCCCATTGGCTCTGAATATTGATGGTTCTACACCAATCAATTATTGAATGAGTTGTACCTCCACTCATTTGCAAAAGGGCTTTGAAATAGCCTGAAATATTGGCTGTTATTCCATAGGGTTAATAGAACAAATGTATGAAAGGAAAGAGCGCCATGGAAAGAAAGCAGAAACAAATATACAACCATGAGAACCAGGACACCTACTGCAACAGAGTGTCAGCCTTGGCTGTGCTCCTGGCAGCTGGGGCAAAGTGGGAACCCCAGGCAGCTGTGTGGTTCTTACTATGAGGAAAGAGGTACAGACCAGCTCCTCGAGGCACACTCGTGGACCTCACGTTAGTGAGATTAAGCAACATAATAAACAGCAGACCCAGCAATACAGAGAAGCCCTCGCTCGGGCTGCTGCCTATGGCAACCCCTAAGCAAGCAGAGGGCGTTGCTTGTGGCTGCTTTGCTCTCTGAGCACTTGGGATTCGCGGGCGGCCTCTCCCACCCTTGCTTATCCTACCTTCTTTTCCAGGTCACTCTGCACACAGGATTGGAGGTGCCAACAAACCTGGGGCGCCCAAAGCTGTCGGGCAACTAGCCTCCCAGCTCCAGTTCTCCATGGGTGTCTGGGAAAAGCCCCACCAGCCCTCGTGTTCAAATAACCCACGAGGGCAGGACAACCACTTCTTGGGTGCACCCCAGCAGCCACTGAGTATCTTAGAGACACATTTTGTGGGGGATGGAGAATGGGTCTGCAGGCCACGCTTATGGAGGCCACTGTCGGTGGGAACACGGGTGTGTGTTTCCCCTTCATTCCACTGGGATGTTACAAATACCCATGAAGAAGGACCTTTCTCAAGGGAGTGAGAAAGAATTCGGGGTTTGTTTTGTTTCCTGCCATCTGTTTTCCAAGCTTTTCTTTTTTCAGGGGTGAAAGGAGGGCAGACTTTGAGACTGGCATCCTGAGAGCAGGAGGCAGGGGGGTGCTTGGGAATCTCGTGTCCTCAGTGTCAGCCCTTTGCCAAGACACCACTCCTTCAGAGAACCAAAGTTGCAGGTTCCCATCTTTGCCAGAAAAGTTATCCTTTAACTTTTTGGTCCTGGAATCTTCAGTATGTTATGCCGCTTGCAGACTTAGTCCAGGATCGGTGGAAAGGGGCATTAATCATTCATCCTGATCTTTGCTTCTCTCGTCACACTGCTGAGAACCTTTTAAAGTGGTTTCCTTAGGTCTTTCATTAACCAACCAATCTCTCTCTCTCTTTCTATCTCTCTCTCTCTCACACACACACACCCGCATGCATGAGCACAGACACACATACATGACAGTCTGCTAGCATTCACTCACTTAGTTCTTAGTTCTTAAACACAAAAGAAAACACTGGAATTTGAATGACTATGTGATGCGTCTCTGCCTGGTTTTGGCTTTTTTCTGGAAACGGCTCCCCAAGAGGTTACCTGCAAACCTGTCTGAGTTGCCCTTCTGAGCTGTGCCACTCTCAGACTCCTAAGCGTGTAAGATGAGAGACGCTGGGGGAACCTCTGATACTCAGTCCACCTTTGCTTTGAGATCCATCCTACTGTCATCAGGATAGCATCATGAAAGCAAGAAGTGGGCCCCATGGCAGGGGTGGTTCTGCCATGCCAGGCAGGCAGGACCTCTGAAGAAGGCAGGAAATACAGCAATATCGTGTTCCTCGTCTCCCAGCTTCTGAGTGTGAGCCTGGGTGTGCTGAGTCCCTGTGGCCAGGGCGGGGCTTTGGAGGTGAGCCCTCCCCTGCTTGCTGGGAACACTAACCTTCTTCCTTGAGACCCATGATGAGTCATTTCCATCTCTCAGAAGGAGCCTGTCCCCAGAGCACTTTCCCCTGCTCCTCCCTCTCTTCTTCCTTGTCACCTGCCACCTCCATCTCCATCTGGTAGTAAACCTTTCTCTCTCCTTTTTAAAAGAATATATTTTATCAAGCGTTTTATTTTTGAGGTTGAGGAGTAACTTTTTGCTGGGTTGGATTTTTATACACCTTAGCCCATAAACCGGCACCAACTGTGTTGACTCAGTTCTACCTGCTTGTTTAGACACCACACTTGCTCTCCGAGTAACCCCGGCCAATGCTGCGCAGATCCTACCCTCTATTCAGCAGATCCGACAATCCTACCTCAAAGCCCGTGCTCTTGGACTGCGAGGCTGCCTTCTCCGGCTGTGTCCACCAGTGTGGCCGGCAAGGCCAGCTGCCCAGTGTCTTCAGGAGCTGCTTGGTGCTGTGTTTAAGCCTCTGCCGCCGAGGTCCCGGCAATCGTCTTCTTAGGGGAAGTCAGGTCTTGCCTCTTCCTTCTTGTCCCTCCAAGTGGTTTCTAGGGCACATGGAGGTGCTCGGGCCAGAGCCGGCCAGGTGATGCATACGACCTAGGCTGCCCGGGGCTGCCACGTATTCCTGTCTGTGCAGCTGCCTCTCTCTCCTCTGCTTCCACTTTCCTTCAGTGTCACTCCTTAGCCATAGCTCTGGGTGGACTCAGCGTGGAGGGTGGGGAAGATTCCTAAAGATTGGAGGACGCAGAGGAGCCATGGCCTTCCTGGGGCTGAGGAAGCTGTGGCTGGCAGGTCCAGATGCATCAGCTTTGGGAAACGTCTTGTCTTTTAGAAAAGATGAGGCCAGCGCGCGGGGAGTGAGAGTGTGGCTGGGAGGGTGGGCTAGGCAGGGCCACTGGCAGAAGTGGCTTTTTACAGTGGAGTCCAGATGAAAGCCTGGGGAGCTCCCAGAATCCTTGAAGCCAGGGTCACCAGGCGGCCCTGGCTCTGCGTCTTTGGAGAGGAGCTGCTCGAGATCAGCCCGGACTGGGGATACCCTTGGGAGAGGCAGCACCTAGATCAGAGGGAGATGTGGAAAAGGGAGAAGGGAAATTCCCGCAATTTCAGGTGACCTCTTTAGGAAGAAAATTGCCTGAAGTTCTGAGAGAAGCCGCCAGGACTCCCTCCCTCCCCACCACAGTCAGCAGTCCCGGGAGGTCCTCTGAGTGCCAGGAGCAGGCGCCATTCGACATTTTCGTACTCCTCCAGGAGCCCAGAAGCAATACAGCTGATACTGGGGACTGTGTCAGGCTGTCCTACAGCCACCTCTCTTGTCCTCAGCATAAAACACCTTTTGGGGATATTAATGGACCTAAGAGAGAAGGCGGGTCCGTGCCACACACTCGTGTTTTTGAGGGTTCAGCAAAATGAAGAGGGAACTCATCAACAACTCATGGTCTTATGTCACCATCCCAGGAAGCCCCTGGAATTCAGAGTGGAAATGACGGGTCATGGGCTTCTCATCCGCCATCGAATTCCCTGTTTCTTTACAATATGGTGACATTTTTGTACATAAAAATTATATCAAGATGATGCTTTTGTTGGACTGGCTGAGGAAAAACCAGGTGTTCATCTATCAAGCAGTTTCAGTGAGAAAGCAATTCATAGTGATCCAAAATGTCAAGTTCCACTGCATTGTAAATAATGCCTCCGTGATGTGGTTCTGCAGTTTATTCTTTGCTAGTGAGCAAGTTTGGTCCAAGTGTATGCCTTTCCTTTTAGAATTAATCTCTTCAAAAGTTTCTAATAGCATCTCACTGCATAGCCTTCTAGCCCCTAATTCAAAGCAAGATAAGACATTACACACCGCCCTGCTTTTCCCCTTTCTGTCCTGCTTGGGAAAATAATGATTCCAATTAAAGCAGACATCAGTAATCCTGACCCGCAGAGAAACTGACCCAAAACTAGAAAACCATATATAGTTCTAGCTGAATCTTCAGCCCTGTGTGTACTCTGGAGTTGCGACAATGCCCTCAGGTGCCTCGTGGCCCACCAACGTTGGGGAGGCGAGTGAACGTGGGCAAAACGGTGGACTTTACCAAGAGCAATGGGCACAGGCCCACCCTCCATACTCTTGGTACCCCCTGCCCTCTGCCTAACAGGGCACTCTCAGGAAAGGATCAGTTGCAGGATCTATGTGGACTTCTTCTAGGGATATTTGCATTTGTCTTAATTCTAATTGCAAAGGAAAGGCTTAGTCCCCTGTGAAGGTGTGTTTCAGCACAGGTCAGCAGGTGGCTTATCGATGAAGCTGCTGTGTGTTCCATGGCCACCTGCTGGCTATGAGATATTGAGGGTAGATAAAATCCTCGGGGGGACTCAACATGTGAATGCTGAAGAACACTATTACAAGACCCGTGGACGATGCCAGGGTTTCTAAACCTCAGGACTATTGACATTTGGGGATGGGTAATTCTCTGTTGTGAGGGGCTGTCCTGTGCACTGTAGGATGTTTAGCAGCATCCCTGGGATCCACCCACTAGATGCTGGTTAACAACCCCCAAGTTAGTTGTGACAACTAAAAGTGTCTACAGACATTCCAAATGTCCCCTGGGGGACACTCTTGGTTGAGAACCACTGGGTTATGCTAGTGGTTTGTCATGTGTCGATATGCAGAGTGATGTGTGGGGCGTCCACTTCAGTGTTACATGGACAACCTGTATCACAAGGCTGTGGGCCTTTGTCTTAATGGCCAAGTCTGGGATTTCCCATAGGTCTGCAGCCTTCTGCCAGCTGGGGCAGGTAGGGAAAAATGGGGTGAGCCACGAACAGAAGGTAACCTGTCAGTTCTCACTTCGTATTCACTGAAGATGCCCCCCAACTCCCACCCCCATTCCTAGACAGCGAAACCTGTTACCTTCGTTTTCCTTGGCCACTTTTGGCTGGAAGCAACAGGAACTTCTTAATGGATTTATGGCCTTTAACTGGTTAAAAAAAATCAAATCAGATATCATTAGAAGATATTCAAGGTCTATGCTGATCCTGGGAAATCTTGACTTTTCTTTTGCAAGTAAGCCAATAGCTATTTTCATTGATCACATTCCTTGACAGTTCCTCCTTGAAGAGAAAAGGATCCTGGCAGCTTTAACTTTAAATGGACTGTAAGATATAGGAGAGTAGGTTTGGGGCAGGGTATATTGATCAGATACCAAATTTAGTCCTTAGAAACTCATCTCTTTTGACCTGGCTTTGATATTGATTCATGGTATGTATGGGGGCAAATCTCTTAAATCTTTCTGTGCCTCAATATCCCCCCCTGAAAGTGGGACTAGTCATACTAACCTACCTCCTCTGATGTGTTGTGAGGATTATAGAATATCACTTTTTAAGGAAAAGAGTGTAATCTTTCATCTATTGAGTCTAGGCTAATGGTTCACATTCAGTGAATCAAGCCTGTGTGGTAACTTTCCAGAGTGTTCTCTGACCACAGTGTCTTCCATCCAAACCTCTTATGACTGGGAGCATGTATTTATTACACAGCTGCCTGGCCTTGAGGGAGTAAAATTGACATTTAAAACAGGCTTCATGTGACCATAGAAAGCAACACCCCAAATGTTCCCATTCCCAGTGAGGCCTGTTTAATGATACCCTTTGTATGAAGTGCTGTAAACAGGCTACATATCAGCATTCTCATTGTTAGTCTCAAAGACATCTGCCTGCATGGAAGATTAACCTGCCTTTCTGCCTCCTTGGTTACCTTAAGTTCTAGTATCTAAGGGGTCCCCCAACCATAGTGTGTCTCCTTTGTTTCCAAAGATCTCAGCAGAGGGAGCAGCTTTGAAAACCAATGTCGGCGAGTAAGATGAGATGCAACTGAGCTGCATCTAGAAGGCTGGTTGGGCAAAAAGGCGAAGGGGGCTGGTGGTCGTCACATCGCCGGGACTACACTTGCACTATCTGTTAAGGGGAGTTCCTGGCTTTTTCCATGAAAGATGTTGACTTCAGTCAGAAGGAGGAGTTGGGAGTTGAGACCTACAGGGAAGTCTCGTCTGGAGGCATCACTCTTCTCTCAAAGGGTGCAGCTCATTGAGGGCCAGGCTGCCTCACCTTGTCCTGGGGAAGACCCAGGGGGCTCGTGGCAAGCGAGGTGGGCGCTGCTCACCAGGCCAGACCCTCAGGAAGGCTCTGAGGAGAGTCAAAGACCAGTCTTCAGGTTTGGAAAAGTGACTGTTTGTGGCTGTGGAAACAGGAACGTGGCAGGTGCTTCCTGGGTGAGACACCAGCCTGGAGAAGGCCTTTCCGACTCTTCCCACAAAAACGGTGACTGGACGTCCCAAGCCCCGGACTTTCTCAGCACTGAGAGGAAGTGCAGAGTGAGCAAAGCAAAAAACGTTGAATGCATGATGTAGAATCGCTGCTTTCGCACTAGACTGTTGTATTACGCATGAGAGATGTTTGTTTAACGTTGGCAAAGGAATTTAACAAGTAACGAAAAGCTTTGTGTCCTTGTTTTGGCTGTTGACAGAACTTCCATTTTCCTGCCTTTCTCTACCCGTTTTCTCCCTTCCCCTCATCACATCCACTTTCTGTCACTAGTTGTTGGTATTTGGTGGCACCTCTTGGTCCCACTGGTGTTCATGTTCCACTAGAAACATGGAACAGGGGAAGGGGGGTAAGGAAAGCAACTTTTTTCTAATTTTTGTATTGGTATCCACAAGCGTTTGTATTTTTTGAATTGCAAACACTGTGTTTTCTGGTCTTTGGGGGTTGGTTGAATTTTGTGTATTGCCTTTTGGAAAACCTGAGTTTTACCACAGTCTTAAGCAGATTTGAAATAAATTCTTTTGACACTGCCAACAACCGGAAGACGTGGTATGGTCTATAATTATGCTCAGTGGCAAAGTCTGCCTTTCTCCAAACTGGCCCTGATGTCAGCCAGACAGGACAAGCTGCAGGAGGGGAGGCCAGCCTGTCTCTCACCCAGAGGACCCAGGCATTGTTAGGCATCAGGGTCAATGTGGATCTGCTGCAGGAAATCGTGATTACAGATGACTCTAAATTATAAGGTACCACATCAAACAGTGGGGAGTTCATGGGATTCATTTGTGCAAGAGGTACTAAGGCTGGAAATTGATAACAATTAACATATGGTTAAGATAAATTCATAAATAAAAAATTGATCATGGGTTACAAGTGGAAACTGAGCCATGGGGAAAACATCCTAATCTGCAAGCATCGAGGATACTAATCAGCCCCTTCAACCACACAGAATGAGCCTGAGTGTGTCTGACCTGAAAACTCTGTCCCTTGCTGTGTTCCTCAAGTCATGATCCTCAAGAGCAGCCATCTCACATGCCCCCAACAACCCCAAGACCCGGCCTCACCCTTCAGTTACCTGCGGATTACTGAACAGCTGGGCTAGGCTGGGTAGGGGGCAGTGGCAGACTCAGATTAGAGAGCAGCAGGTGCTCTTGGGATCAACACTCTTGGAACCAAAGGGAAGGAAGCAGGATTGGGCCGAGGGAGGTGTCGAGCTCTGATGCAGACCCAGCCAAGGCCTTGGCCAACTCAGCTCTGGAGTTGTCCTGAGTTGGGACGAGAGGACTGGGCTTTAATACCCTCACATCAATCTTTCATTGACTGTGGGCCACTCTGGGAAGGGGTGAGGCAATCCCTGAAGAGGGCGAACAGCGGAAGGCTGTGCCTTCAGCACTCTCAGCAGCTGAGCGAGCAAGTCCTTATTCTTGAAAGAGGATCTCAGTGGGACATACTGCATCCACCACAGTCCACCCACTGTGCCACAGATCTATGCTTCACTTAAGTTTGGGGAGAAGCTCTTCCAGAATTCCAAGGAGGGAAGCTTAGATGAGGAAAGTTAGGGGGACAAACGACGTTCCCTGCCACTGTAGCTGGTCTTGGAGCTGCATTGGACACCCATTGTCTGCCTCCCCTCACCCTCACCTGGCAGCTCTGCTAATTGTGATCCAGACCCTCATCCCTGGGGAGTCTGAGCCTCAGGTCACCAGGCCCTTCTCAGTCCAGCGTTGCTGCACTTGTCTATTTACCATCAGATTTGGGCAAAGGGAGTATCAAGCAATGCCCGAGTGGACTGCCTGGGTGCAAAGAGATTACTCCCTGCCCCACTGGGCAACAGCAGCCCTACCTCCTCTTGATGGTCAGGGTCAATGCCCCCTGCGAGCTGGTGGCTCTTCTCGCCCAGGCAACAACCTTGGTTCAGGGGGACACATGCTGTGTTCTCTTGCTTCTCCCTTTGGGAAGCAGGGTCTCTAGGTCCACAGGGCCAAGAGCTGTGGGGACGGGAATCACAAGTTCCCTAAGTGGGTCACTGGGAGTCACATTAGGTGGAAGTGTTGTGCGGAGCAAAGACTGATCTATGCAGACGCAACCATGGCAGGGAAGAAACCCCTGTGAAGGGGAAATGGCAGTATGGAAGACACAGTGAGGGGACATTTACCAACTGCACTGAAGCCCGGGTTTCTTCCCTTTGTGGCTGTTGCAAGAATCTTAGTCATAACCATTTTCCTTTGGATGACTGTTTATTGTCACTTCTCTCTGTGGCTAACCTTGCTGGAGGAAACTTTATCAACGGGGAAACAAAAAGTATGGTCTTCAGTCCTTACAGGACAGGTTGCTTTCTTTTAGCCCCTAAACCTCTAAGTGTTTCCAGAGCACACAATGGTCACAAAACTGCTCTTTAAATATTTATTCAGTAAATTAAAAGGTGAAACAAAAACAAGGTGAGAAACTTACACCTGAAATGTGCATGCTTTTCCAGAATTGACTAGCTTGGGGCTCTGGTCCAGAGTCTGGCCAAGTGCTCAGGTGTCTGAGCCATAATGGCTCGTGGGAGGTGGGGTGAGGTGAGGCCACCTCGGTCTCCCCAGCTCCCTGTTGAAAAAGAAAGGGAGTTAAATGGATCCAGCGCCCACTCTAAGAGGTCATTTCTAGGTCCTGAGATTTTTCCTAGTGCTTTGTCATGTTTGGGATCTTCTACACCTTTTAAAAAAATTACCCTTAAAAACTGCCAAAATATATATCCTAATAAATACAACCATTCAAAATAAAGCTGGAAAATAAAACACTAATTCCAATTTTGCTTCAATTCAAAATATTTTTTGAGCTCCTCATTTGGCAATGCCTTCAGAGTCACCATATGAGTCACATAAGAAAGTTAGCCATTAATACCCTGATTTCACCAAAACTTTATTACTTACCAGGTTCATTATTATTCACTAGGTTTATCTGAATTTTTTGCCAATGGAAAAAAAAGCCAAAATTGATTACCATCATTGAAAACTTTTCTTTTAATGTGCCACAAACTTTGAGAAGTTCCAGACACTTTCAGCAAGAGATATGTATAGCTGCCAAAGGTGACTGCTTTGAAGGAGATAACATTTGCTTAAATGTAGGTACTAGGACATGAGTTAAACTCATCTGTTGTGCTACTTAATAGTCACGGTCATGTATACCACAAAAGTTGTACTTTGTTTACATAACTTCTTACGAAGTAGATTTTATATACTTGGTAGGCTGAAAATTAAAACTGCTTTTCCCACAAAACTACTGACAAATGATCACATTCTTAGTTCTTTCATGATATAGTCACATTAAATCATTTTTTAAAAATTAAAAGGCAATTTAAAGCTAATTATTAGCCTTTACAAATGAGTAAAATTACGAAAAATCTTCTTTTTTTTTTTTTTTTAAGATTTTATTTATTTATTTTTCCCCCAAAGCCCCAGTAGATAGTTGTCTGTCATAGCTGCACATCATTCTAGTTGCTGTATGTGGGACGCGGCCTCAGCGTGGCCGGAGGAGCGGTGCGTCGGTGCTGCGTCGGTTCACACCCGGGATCCGAACCTGGGCCGCCGGCAGCCGAGCGCACTCACTTAACCGTTAAGCCACGGGGCCAGCCCCGAAAAATCTTCTTAGGAGCAAATGCACAAAACACCAGTGAAAGTGAAACTAGAGTGAACCTTACAGGAGAATAGTAACATTCTTTTCAATAGGTTTACTTTATATTCACATGGCAGTTGGCCCAACACGGTTATTGCCACAAAACAGACACTTCAGCAACTAGAAATTTTATTATTTCTATTTAATTTTTTTTCCCTAAAATAAAAAAGCAGTCTATGAAATATGAAATAAATAATAATCTGGTAGTCTTGTAGGGGTCCAGCTTCAGTACCACGGCACTTTCCCATTCCTCTCTTTATTTTATAAAGTACTTCATTTAGCCACTCGGGAAGAATTTATTTTCTTAATATCAACTCGGCTCAGAATCAACGTCCCATTTTTGAATTTTCCAACCTGTCCAGTCCGTCCACTTGACAAAATACTGGGAGCTGATTTCTTCCTTTTGGATTTCCTGCATTTAAAGTGAGAGAAAGGCACCACAGCTAAGCTTATAAAGGATTGCAGCATCACCAACCAGGCGACGGTGGCCTGCTCCTGCAAACTCCCGGTCCCTCCCATGCACCGCCCCCTGCTCTACTGCAGCACCACTGGCCTTCTGCAGTCCCCGAAACATGCCAACTGCATCCTTGCCTCAGGGCCTTTGCACTGGTTTCTTCTACGTGGAATGTTCTGTTACCAGATATTTCCAGGCTGTCTCCCTTTCTTCATTCAATTACCAAATCAGATGTCACCTCCTTAGAATGACATCCCAGCCCATCCCAGTGATTTTCTTTCACAACGCTTTATTTAACCTCTTCACAGAACTTGCCAGTACCTAACATCTCCTTACTTATGTGTTTGTATGTTTTGGTGTGTTTCCCTCACTACAATGTAAGGTCCTGAAGGGCAGGGATACCCTCAGTGTGATCATGGCGTCATCTCCAACACCTAAGACACCTATGTGCCTGGCACACGGTGGGCCTTCAACACACATACATGGCCAGAACAAACAGCCACTTAACAGCATGTGCAAGCTCACCAGGAGGCCAAAAAAAAAGTTACGACAAAAGAAGTCCATTTTGAAACAGTAACTTGAGAAGAGAGAAAAAGGCACTCAAACAAAAGCTAAGAAACAAGAATAAAGCAACAAGATCAACATTCCATTACTTAAATTATGGTGCTCTAGTTCATGTGGAATGTCAAAGAACAGGCAATACAGACCCAGACCGTGCTGTCATATCAGCAGGCTTTCTTAGCAGGGAACAGAAGTCTTTGGTTAGGGCCGGCCCCGTGGCTTAGCAGTTAAGTGCGCGCGCTCTGCTACTGGTGGCCTGGGTTCGGATTCCGGGCGCGCACCGATGCACCGCTTCTCCAGCCATGCTGAAGCCACATCCCACACACAGCAACTAGAAGGATGTGCAACTATGACATACAACTATCTACTGGGGCTTTGGGGGAAGAAAAAAAAAAAGAGGAGGATTGGCAATAGATGTTAGCTCAGAGCAGGTCTTCCTAAGCAAAAAGAGGAGGATTAGCATGGATGTTAGCTCAGGGCTGATCTTCCTCACAAAAAAAAAAAAAAAAAGAAGTCTTTGGTTGGAAATGTCAACCTCAGCTTTCCCACTAGTCACTTGAGGTGTCTGGTCTTTGCAAATGGGAGCCTGGAGAATGTTCCTAACTCAGTCCTGAGGTAGTTGTTTGATCTTGGACAATTTACTAAATCCTGTTCCCCTTAAAGGGCTTGATTAGGATAAGTGAAGATAGCGAGGCATTCTCACAGGCTAAAAACACCACATAAATGCAGGGTACTATTTTCAGAACTAATCAATAGGTTTATTCCACCCTAGTATCTAATGGTATCACTCACCTGTCTTCCTGCCCTTTCCTCTTCTTTTTCTTGAAAATATCTGTGTCCTGGGCCTGATGTCAGAATTTAAGACAACATATTTGTCAGTAATGGATAATAGAGATTTAGAAAAAGGCAAGAGGTTTGTGACCAAAAGCCATTGAGATACTATATTTGATATTTTTTCAAGTAGGCATATTAAACATAATAGACTCCAAGTTTCATCCTAAAACCCTTTCAAGAATGTGAAAGCCCATTCCAGAGAAGACTGACAATAGAAATGTCAAATCTTCCACTTTAGGTGAAAGGAAGGCAATACTATATGTATTCCTCTGGTGGTCTTTCATAAGCTCTTGTGTTTCATACGATGTGAAATGCAAGAAAAAGACTGAGTCTAGGGAAAAGATCAAAGTAGCTTACATCATTTGAGCAGGAGTTTGCATTTCAGAGCAAACTTTTCATGTGAATATGCCAGATCACTTGGCTGGTATTACAAAATGCAGCTGACTTGAAGAAGTGGACAGAATTTGCTCATTTAACTCTAGATCTTGTCATTGTCTAGATTGCTTTCCAAGCAGTGGAGTACAGCCTTCCACTGTGGCAAATTACAACCATGTTTCTGTTCTAGAAGTTTAATAGAGTAAAGAGAAGACTATCACACCTACCCTTCTCTTTTCTTCTTCCTTTGCTACCTTTTTTTCTTTGATTTGCTCCTGTAAAACCCTGTAATTCACATAACTATTTTTGGGAGGCTGAAATGAAAGAAAAAGGACACATATTATCATTTTCTATTTTGCAAAAATTTCCCGTGTCCCTTGCACTGACTTGCCCTGGGCTCTCGCACCCCTTTTCTGTATCCTGTCTGGTAATGGAAGGCAGAAGCAGCTCCTTACCTTGGCACCCAGCATAATGGCACGTTCCTGTTCTAGGACTCTTTCCCTTCCTTTTCCATAGCCTGTGATCCCAAACCGGTGCACTTCCAAACGAGCCTGTAGACACAAAGCAGAATCCAAAAACTCTACAGTGCATTCCAAAACTCCACAGGAGTTTCCTAGGAGGACTGCATGTCAGACACGATGTGCTGCACACCAAATACTTTTATGTATTCTCACGACCTGCAGTGACTACAGCTAGCAAGAACTCTGATACGGTGTGGCTTAAGGAGCTCTGTGGAGTTCTCTTACAACACTACCAGGATCTCACAACACCATTCTCTGACAATTTGGACAGTTGAAGCAAAGACTTATCTCTGCACAAATCAGTGGCAGAACTAGGATCAAATGCAGAGCTCAGCAGGACTTTAGATGCTCTCTAAAACAAGCTACTACCCATAAAGACAATAAAGCAACTTGAAGGTACCTCTCCAAACATATTTACTCATACTTAGAAACCATTTATCACAGCAGCTTCGAACATATCTGTGTTTTTTCTTTAAAAAGATACTGTAGAAGAAGAGAAAAAGCCACCAATACCCACTCTCAGCAGTTGAATTACTTCCTCCTGTCTTTTTTCTCATGCATTTTTAAAACCTAGTTACAATCACAGAATACACACAACTCTGCTTTTCTTACCACTGTATCATTGGCATTGCAGTCACAAAACCATCGTGTTTTAAACAGTTGCATAATATTCAATCAACTAAATGTAGTGTGATGTGCTTAACCATTTCCCCAACTATTGGGCATGTAAATATATTCAATTTTTTTTTTGTTATTATAAAGCTGAAAAAATTAACAATTTCAAAACACATACCTTTTCTAAGTTAAATTCTTGTATATCCATATCTTTCTCAAGGATACTAGTTTTGGTCTGAAAGGAAAAAAAACTCTTATTAAGATCATCTGTTACTATATCATTATAGCATCCATCACCAACAGAGAGTCATGTTTTTAAAAGCCTTGAAACTGGCCCAGATGCCTAATATCAAACAATAATACAAGCATGTTGCACAAAAGCCTAATTAACAGCTAATGGAAGAAAAATGGAGAAAAAAATTTTTAAGATCTCAAAGCTTAAGAGAAAGGATTGATGAGAAACTAAGAAAAAAGAAAAGATGGTCAGAGAGAGACCAACGTCTGTATCTCATGCACCATATGTAGAAAATTCTGTTCAGGGGGAGGCGGGTGGGGGGTTTAGAAAAAGACAATTGTTTGAGCAGGGATTTTAGACGGTACAAAAATGTCATGTTTGGGGCTGGCCCCGTGGCGTAGCGGTTAAGTGCGCACACTCTGCTGCTGGCAGCCCAGGTTCGGATCCCAGGCGCGCACCTACACACTGCTCATCAGGCCATGCTCTGGTGGCGTCCCATATAAAGTGGAGGAAGATTGGCATGGATGTTAGTCCAGGGCCAGTCTTCCTCAGCAAAAAGAGGAGGATTGGCATGGATGTTAGCTCAGGGCTGATCTTCCTCATTGAAAAAAAAAAAAAAAAAGTCATGTTTAAATAATTCTTTCTCTCTTTCCTTTCCTCCCATCAGCCATTAGAATAATGGCTAAAAAAATTCTCTTGAGTTGAAAATTTCTTTCAGGAACATCAGATTTCCAGAAATAGTGGTGACTGGGTTTGTAATTCCCAACAGAAAATAACGATACTGCAAATGCCTTCAAAATATGTGACTCTTTACATCAATATATCCCTTGGCTGTGGTTACCAACCCATAGAATTGACCAGAAGCTTAAGATTTTAAGAAAACTGTTGTCATGTCTGGCCAACAACAGCAGTCACTACTCAACTCCAGCCCCGAAATCTGTACCAGCAGGCAGGAGGCTGTAAAAGTGTGCAGCCTCTAGAAAAGGCACCGTTTCCCTTGCAGGACAATGGTGAAGGGGGATGTTCGGCCCTGAGCTGCGAGCTGGCTGCATGCCAGGGTGCAGCATCCTGCCATTCCTGCTCAGCAGGGTGGGGTCTGTGCCAGGATGAGAGCGTGGCACTCCGCCCCACGCCACACTGAGAGGTGCCGTGCACACTGCACACACGAAGGAGCCCTGGTTTCTCCTTCTCAGAACAGGAGTTGTGCTTCAGCTTATCCTGTTTTCTCCCCCCACTACTGTATTTTGGGTGTGTGGGTCAGTCACTGAATGTTTCCATAGATGACAGCTTCTGTTTCAATGAGGACCCCTGTACAAACTTCACAGGGGGTTATGATGATGAAATAGGATAAAGTAAATAGTAAGTGTGCAGCCCAGGTCCCGTAAACAGGAAGACTTGGCCAATGCTCTCATATTAACTAATCCACTGACTATAAATCAACAACCTCCCAGTAATCCCCACAGCACTGCCCATCTGCTGTCACACCGGACGCCGACTCAAGATGGGCCTGGGTGCTGGTGGCAACAGAGGATCACATCGTAGAGGATGACCGTCATGCTCTAGGCATGTGGCCCCGCTCTGTGCTGTTAGTCACAATAAATGCATCTTCCACATTACTTTATTGGCTTTTATTATGCTTATGATTTTCTTCAGACAATCACATATTTCACAGAATCAAATGCCTTACTTAAGAGCATGGGTGCAGGGGCTGGCCCGGTGGTGCAGCGGTTAAGTGAACACGCTCCGCTGCGGTGGCCCAAGGTTCGGGTCCCGGGCACGCACCGACATCCTGCTTGTCAAGCCATGCTGTGGCGGCGTCCCATATAAAGTGGAGGAAGATGGGCATGGGTGTTAGCGCAGGGCCAGTCTTCCTCAGCAAAAAGAGGAGGATTGGCAGATGTTAGCTCAGGGCTGATCTTCCTCACACACACACAAAAAAAAGAGCATGGGTGCAGCAGGGAGGACGCTGCATGGGGCACTTCCATGTATCTACCCGAGAAAGTCTTATCTCCTTTTCCATGACTGGAAAAAATTCCACACTTACTCTGAAGTTAGGATATCTTTTCCATTGGCATGCACATCTAATCCATTTAGTATGATCAACAGTAATAATATTTTTGAAAAACAAATGGATTAAATCTTCATGATGTCAGGATCATATCCAAATCCTCAAATACACATTTTATATATACATATTAAAAAATGTATACTGTTCACAGACCTCTAAAATCCCATTTACCTCCTTTTCTAAATATTTAAATAGTTCTTCCTCTCTTTTCCTTTCTCCCATCCATCCAATAAGTGATGACTGACTAAACTCTTTCGAGTTGAAAACTTCTTTCAGGAACATCAGATTGCTAGCAATACTGGAGATGTCACAGATGCCCTTGGCTGACCTGTTACTAGAAGATCAGCATGAGAATGGAGCGACAGGTCCTAAAGAGGACCTAGGCTCTGTAATAAAATTCTCTGCCAACTGTGTGGTAGTTATTGTGAGGCTGAAACCCCTGGGTCCTGATGTCCTTGCTCTCCCCAACACTAGCCCCACAGAACACCCAGTCCTTGCACTGCAGGTCTCAGTTCATCCTGACTGTGGGGACACGTGGGCTGAGGGGTCCTGCGTAGATCAAGGGCAGACCTGGGTGGCAGGTCTGGCCAGACATAGAGATCTTGGTATTCCCAAACCTTCTGTTAACATTTCACCAGAAACTTCTTAGCTTTATAGCTGTTGATGTGTTTCTGAGGAAGGATCTGGGTTCTAGATTCTCGTTTATAACAAAAGCAAAATTTGGAAAAAAATTCTTGGCTAATTATTTCATGATGCTGAGTCTATTAGCATGACCCCACCACCATCTAACTTTAATTTTTATGCATAGCTTTAAAACCACTTCAGTACATTATTCATAATGCATTCCCTGATTTGGAAACAGTCAGCGGTTTCCTCTGTGTTCTTTCCCCTCACACTCACTGTAGTAGGAAGCACTTGTACCTATAGGCAATATTGGGTCCTTCTCTACTTCTAGACACACAGGAGAACTGGGCTTCGCTGTCTACCTGAACTTAGGCAGGGCTACGTTACTTTCTTTGGCCAAAGAAATGTGAGCAGAGGGGAAGTATGCCCCTTCCACATGGAACCTCTAAGAGCCAGTCATCAACTCCCCTTCTCCACCAAAGCCACTAAGACTCTTCCAGGTGGTGGAGACCCTATTATCCTGGGTCTGTAGACGAGGAAGGTGTGGAGCAGAGCACTCCACCCCTGCCAATCCTGATGGACATGCAACACAAGAAAAAATTAACTTTTGCCTTTAAACCATTGAGATGTAGGGACTACTTGTAATCAAACCACTGCCTAACCTATCCTGACTAATAAAGCCTATGGTAGAGAGAAATGTTTGGAGATTTTGAGAACTTGTATGTTAGGCAATGAAGAAGGAAGAAAGCTACAAAAAGAAGGAACAGTTTGGGAGAAATGTGTGGGGGTGAGGGAGGAAGGCAGGGAGCCCACCAGGCTCAATGAACTTGTCTACGGGCTGCCTTGCTGACCAAAAGTATTTTCTCCTACAGTGATCAGATTTTTTATTCTATTAGTTACACTGTCCAACGTTTGTCCAATTAGAGAATAGCTGGGTAAATAAACACTCTCTTTTTAAAATGCAAGCAGTTCTAGGAATATTAAGAAATTAATTCATATCTTATTGAGTGTAAATTACTTCAACCAGATTACTTTCTTCCTAACACCTATCTCACATTGCATCTACTAAAGAACAGGGAACAGGGAATGTGGTACAAAGTTGAAGGGTGACGCTGGAGTGTGGAGGACTTCAGGGTAGAGTCCTTGCGAGTGACCTAGATAACGCAGAGATTATGAGGGCGGTTAGAACCTGGGGCAATAACTGGGGACAATGGTAATGCAGGGTGAAGGTTCTGGGTCAAGTGTACTTGTGTTACTCAAGGACAAAGAGCCTAACCTAACCTATATTCTCTCTCTAGTGTACTAGTTAGGTACACAGCTTTTAAGCCAGAAAGCCTGGGGTCTGAACCTGACTCTGGCACTTACTTCACATCCACAGTCCTTTATCTGGAATCCTTAGAAAATTCAGAAGTTTTTACATTTTAGAAAGTTAACACTGTGAATATACCGAGTGTTATATACCACTTCCAGTGGGGTCCAAGACAACAACCCATAATTAACTACATTCATATGTCTATAGTAACATCTATGAATATTCATGCCAAATGGAACAAAAATAATTCGTAAGCCTCATATCAGTTCAGGTCAGGTTTTGCTGCCAAATAAATCTGCACCAAACTTAAAAAAAAAAAAAAACCAACTAACTTGTCATTTCCAAAGCTCTGGGGTTTTGGAATTGCAGATATGGGACGCTGGCAAATAATTGAACCTGCCTAAGCATCAATCTCCCCTGTAAAATGAAGAGAGGTCACATAAATTGTGAGGATTCAGTGAGATAATGAATTAGTTAATGAATATAAATAATCACTTTTAGTACACAGTAAGCACTCAGTAAATATTAGCTATTATCAGCAATTCGTTATATGCTCAGAAGCAGCCTATGTGTACCTCAGTCCAGGCCACAGGATCCAAGAGTCTCTTCTGATCTATAGTACACTATTCTATTATTTCTATTACGTCTCTCTAACGCCTTTTCTATGTAGGCCACAAAGGAGGCTAAGGTTCCCGAAACAGGGGCGGTGACTGACCTATATGAAGATGGACCAATGCTAATGGAGGAGAAATAGCGTTAGTAAGACATATCCCTAAGGGCAAACACTACTTGGATCATTTAAGCTACACATGACACTTTCATTTCTTAACAGCATAGGAATTGTCTTTCTCACACGCAGCCTTGCAATACTCATTACAGAGTGGGTTTTCCCACTCATTCCTCAAATTACAAGTCCAGGCCATACCTATAATCTCTTTACCATACAGGGGCCACAAAGATCTTTTTAAAATATAAATCAGACCACCTCATGTCCTTGCTTACAGTTCTTTGATTCCCATATACTTTAAACTAAAATCCAAAGGTCTCACCATTGCCTACAAACCCGGCAAGAGCTGGTCTCAGCCTGTCTCTCCTACGACAGCTCACACCACTCTCCCCTCGGACCTACACACCGCAGGGCATTTGCAGTGCTGCTTTCCCTCTGCTGACCATTCTTCCCTTTGTCCTACTCCCACTAGCCTTGGAGCTTCTGGAACACAGCAGGCCTCTTCACACCACAGGGCATTTGCAATGCTGCACTCTCTCTGTCCGCATTACTCTTCTCAGCTCCCTTCACCAGCACAGCACCCTTTAACAGAGCGCTAGCCTGATGTCACCTCCTCAGACACTTCCCAACCACTCTATCTAAAGGAGGTTCTGCCCATTACTCTCAGGACCCTATTTCTTTCCTTGAGTGTTTACAACTCTTTAATTATATTATTAATTTACCTGGGGTTTGCCTGACTCCACCAGTAGATGGCACACTCCAGGAGAGCAAAGGACTATATCTTGTGCACTGCTGGATCTCCTGGGGCTGGCAAACAGTAGGCACCCAATTGTTTGTGGAATAAATGAATGACTGAATAAGCAATCTCTTACCTACTATTTCCTGTCAAACTATTTCCATAGTCACTGCTTATACATGGGACATTATCAGGAAGTTTATTTGTAGGTTAGACATTTAGAATGAGTAAAATGTTATATAAATAGTGGACAAATTCCCAGATCAGCCCATTAAAAGAAGTTCTGGTCACCAATTCTGATGTGTGTGTGTTGGGGGGTTTCCCCACATATCCAACAAGCAACGCTCTGACACCAGCTGGCTGTCCTACAATTCAAATCAATTCTGACACTATCTACCTGAAGATAGTGTCAGATCCCACAGGTCAAGGGCTCAGTCCTACAAGACTGCCCTCTACTTCAGATGCCATTTGAAAGCCCAAGTTGTTACCTGTACTTCTAACCCACTGGCTATAAATCAGAGGTCCCCATGACCCCTCCTTGGGTTCAATTAATTTGCTAGAGTGGTTCACAGAACTCTGGACATCCCTTTACTTACTCGATCACCAGTTTATTATAAAAGGATACAACTCAGGAACAGCCAGATGGAAGAGATGCACAGGGCAATGCGTGAAGAAAGGGCGTGGAGCTCCCATGCCCTCTCCCAGCACCTCCACATGTTCACCAACCTGAAAGCTCTCTGAACCCTGAAGCCTGTCCTTTTGGGTTTTTACAGAGGCTTCATTATACAGGTATGAGTGATTAAATCATTGGCAATTGGCCACTGATTCCAGCCCCTCCCCTCTCCCTAGAGATCAGGGGGTGAGACTGAACGTTCCAACCCCCTAATCATAGAGTTGGTTCTCCTAGCAACCAGTCCCCATCCTTGGGTGCTTCCAAAAGTCAATTCATTAACATGACAAAACACACCTTTATGGCTCTCAACTCTTAGGAAATCCCAAAGGTTTTAGGAGCTCTGTGCCAGAAACGGAGACAAAGACCAGATGTATGTTTCTTATCATAAATCACTGTTTCAATACACAATGCAGTTTAATCACAATATTGTGAAAGATGACATGAGTGGAGCCATATGACAACAGAGCCGGAGGAGCCATTTCAGAGGAACTGCCTTGCAGGTCTTGTTTTCTTTATCTTCCAAACTGGACCAAACCACCAACATTCCAAGAAGTCAGTAAGGACAAGAACACCCTGTCTGTAAGAACTGATGGAACTGGACTTTGCTGATGACTGATCGCTAACCAATCAATGAAGTACAAGTCCCGCCTTTTGCCTGATGATCAAATCTTAAGCTAATCTATGAACCTGGCCTCACCTCATCTAGCACCAATGAACTCTTCCTCAGTACAACTCACCTCATCTTCCCTTTTTCCCATAAAAACCCTGAACCTCTCTCCTGTAACTGGGACACTATTTGGGTTTCTACCTGAATCTGTGTTCCCCAAATTGCAATTCTTTGATTCCAAATAAACGCTTTGCCTCTTAAACTGGTTTCTGTTTTTGTAGGTTGACAGTATTTATAGCATAAGCCTAAGTTCTGGGAAAAGAAGGTCATTTCCTGGGTTTAGGCCGGCCCAGCCGGACTGCCGTCCAACTCACTAGGACCTCTTCCATTCTCAAGTGTTCTTCAAAGATGACCAGCAGATTCCATGACTGATCAATGGAGGCTATCATTATCTTATTATATATGTTTGCTGATTCCATGCCTGTTTGAACTGTCCTACAATGACCTGAAAGCTTTTAGAGAGCAGGAGCCATAACTATACTTTACCATGTTACACAAACTCTTAGCATAGCATTACATATCCTAATTAGCCCCGACTGACTATTCTTTACCTGCATTCCCTATGCCCAGGATATACCATAATAACTGGCGTTATATTCATTTGTATTTATTTACATGTTGCAACGTCAACATTCTAAAGTCTTTTTATGGGCATATGTGTTTTCACTGTGTCCGTATTCTGTCTTCTCAGCCAGACACATTCACATTTTCAAAGGATAAATTTTTAAAAGGATGAAAGGGGAGAGCACCAAGGACCAAAAAATTTCATTCAAGTCAGGGAGTCCAAAATGTAGAATGAGCTGAGGTTCCTGAGAAAAGCCAACTACAATGAAAAAAGGGCTCATTAGGAGCAAGAAGAAAAGACAATTCAAGAGCCTGCTGCAGATGTTCTATTATTAAGAGAAATGCAGGCTTATTCAATGCCAACTTTTTGTCCTTTCCATCAGAGAGAAAACTTTCCATTCCAGGAAGAGGAACATAAACCAGTGTACAAGGAAACTGAAGGGAGGGTGCCTAGATGCTTTATGTTAGTTAAATTCTCCAAACACAGAATTATATTACAAAGCAGCGCTTTCCAATCTTTTTCATATCATGGCACACAGAAAATACTAATATTTGTATGGTACACTGAGGTACACTGTGGTAATACTAATAATTGTAAGCTTCCCTGGCTGGCCAGCGTGGGGGCTCTGGTTGCCCTGAGGGATGAGGGAATTCATTTCTTGGCCTGCCGCTAACAGTTCCCAGTGCCCCAGTATTTAGAGTTTAAGAGTTGGAAAGCTGACTTAGAAGCCTAAAAAAAAAATGTAGATATGATTATAGAATGCACTAATAATCTTTGAGGAAGAGATGCTGGTTGGTAAGCTTGACATAAAGTGCTACTTGAATTCTAGAAAAGATTTTATAGATAGTTTTTTAAACCATAAAAAAGATGTAAACACCGGGCACTAACATGTGTTCACACGTTCATAAAGAACAATGCAAGCCTAACTATCTTTGTCAGAGGTTGAATTGCGGTTTCCAAAAAGACCATGTCCATGTTCTAATCCCCAGAATCTTTGAACGTGGCCTTATTTGGAAAAAGGGTCTTTGTAGTGTAATTAAGTTAAGGATCTCAGGATAAGATCCATCCTAGATTTAGAGTGGGCCCTAAATCTAGTGACAGGTGTCCTTCCAAGAGAAAGGCAGAGGGAGATGAGAGACTCAGACACACAGGGATGAAGGCCATGTGAAGACAGAGGCAGAGGTCAGAATTATGCAGCCACAAGCCAAGGAATGCCTGGAGCCACCAGAAGCTAGAAGAAATAAGGAAGGATTCTCCCCTTTCGGAGGGGAGTGTGTCTGCCAACACCTTAATTCTGGACTTCTGGCCTCCAGAACTGAGAGAATAAATTTCTGTAGAGCAGCTGCAGGAAACTAATACAATCCTCCTTTCCTTTTATGATAGACAAAAGTTTATAAGACACAGGGAATGGTATAGAAACGGAAAATCTGATTTTTAGCAATGAATTTGACAAAACCATTATGCTATCCTTGTGAAAAGTCTGGATGAGCAACCACACCTCTCTCATGGACTGAATTTCGAGTTAGATTTACAAATTTAGTCTGAAAGAGATTGCTGCTCACTAAAATCAAACTGCTCTTCCAACAGAAGGAAAGTTCCTTGAAAGCAAGGAGTTTTGCCTATTTTCTTCAGTGCTACATCCCAGTGCCTAGAACAGTGGCCAGAAATAGTTGTTGAATGATCGAGTTTTTATTTCTCTGAACACGATCAAGCAGAAGGCTTATAAACAGAAAGCGTTAACTCGGCAGCCTTGAGTTTATTGAACCCTGCACATTCCCAAGAATGTCCTGTTTTCAGGACTGGCCCTTGGCTGGCTCCTGGAAACTCAGCAATTGGAATATTCTGTTTGTTAAGAGTGTTTTTGCATACCTGAGACCTTGAGCCACACTGTACCAAGCATGCCCCAATACTTGATACTAACAATGTGATTTACAGTGAACACCTCCTTTTCCTCCGGGGGTCTAGAGCTTGATCAACTAAGGTCAATCTGTATGCCTACATGACTAACCCCCAATACAAACCCTGGACACCCAAGCTGGGGCAGGCTTCCCTGGTTGGTAACACTTGGCACATGCTGTCACACATCATGGCTGGGGAAATTAAGCACAACCCACGCAACTCCACTGGGGAGGACACCTGGATGCCTGCACCTGGTTTCCTCCAGACTTTGCCCCATGCACTTTTCCTTTCGCTGATTTTACTCTGTATCTTCTTGCTGTAACAAATCGGAACCGTGATGATTATATGCTGAGTTCTGAGTCCTGTGAGTGCTTTAAGCAACTCCTTGAGCCTGAGGATTTGGGGACCCCGACACAGTCTATAAAGATATTCACTAATATTACAATATCAGGGTTTTCACCATAAACATAAACTAACCAACTCGTTACCTTTGTGTTCTCCTCTTGATCTGGCTTCTGTTTTTTTTGTTTACTTCTGCTGTGAAATTCTACCACTTCTACTCGCTCTATATTGTTCTTCAGAGGAGAGGGAAATACTGCAGCACTAGGGACTTCTGGTCCTGAAGGGGAACCACTGGGGGTCACAGCAGGAGCACACTGCAGCTCTTCTCTGAGTTCCTTGAAGAAGCTGCAAGCACTCTTTCGCTGGCCTTTTATAAGAGAACCAGGTGAGGAAGCTGGCTCTGCTGCCAAGGCTGCTGGAGTCCCCACATCTGTCTTCTTGTTTTCCCTTTTCTTTCTGATCTTTTTCTGTTCTGCTTCATCTTCTGTCTCTCCTGTTTGTTCAAACACACAAAGGAAAAATAAATATTCTGGGTTTTAGCTATCAACATCAGCTCATGTGAATGCACTTGCACATATGTCACAGCGATAAACACCCAGGAATACATACCAAGAAAAAAACTATTTGTTTTTCTTCAAATCGAGTTGTATTTGCACAATTTATAGAATCCAAAATGCAGTCATCTTTTCCTAAGTGACCATATTTATGTCTTTAACTTCTTATTAGCACAATTATTTTACATTTATCTCACCTTTGTCTTTACTAAAAGTGTCACCATGGCCATAGTCCCAAGGACTGGCAATCCCAGTTGGCTCACGTACTCATTTGTACTGAAAATGTCTGTCTGCCACTGCAGCCAGTGTTTCACATTTTCTAGGTTTGCTGTTAGGTATTAGAGTTTTCTTATTTTCTGTCACAATTATGAATTAAGATGAACCTAAGACAACTGGCTTAATTTGAGTGCGTTTATTTTCTACTAAATCCCCATATCTTCTCTGTTTCAACTGTTTGAACCCTAACCAGTCACCTGAAGATTCTGACAAAAATTCTAGGCTTCATTACTCACCTACAGTACGAATATCGCAGAACTCTCTAACAATCAGCTGATCGTTAATGTTTGCTTCCAAATGCTTAGTCTTTTATTCAATAAATACATATTAAGAGTCAACTAAACTTTGGCATTACGGATATAAAAATGAGTAGCTACAGCCCATGCCTTCAGAGCTCCTACTATAATTTCTAGCCTTTGTTGACATAAACTGTATTTAGGATTTTGCAGAACAGTCTTTTCCTCTAGGTTTTAAACTTCTCAAGGTCAGAGACTAAGTCTTCTCTGTCCTCCAATATTCCTAAAGGCACAGAGATATTCTGTCCACAGCACAAGTCAATACAAGTGCAGGGACTGGAGCCAGACGGTCTGGGGATTGGAAATTATTAGCTAAGTAAACTTGAGCAAATTTTTTAACCTCTAGTGCTTGTTTCTACATTTACAATAATGCGATTAAAGACAGTATCTATTTCATAGGGTTGTTGTGAAAATTAAATGAGTGAATACACAAAAAGCATGGAGTACATAGTAAACTCTCAATATTTTTTAGCTACCATTTTTACGTTTAAGTGAGCTTAGAATTTTCAGCAATGACTCCAAAATAAAACTGCTTTTGCAACACCACGATACCCATTTAAGAAATATGTTTGGTTCTTAAATGTACTAATGCCTAATGATTATCTTTGGTGCATGAACAAGGGATGTCACCTTCCCTAAGGCAAGTTCTTCAGAGTGTGTGGAACTGTCTTTCTACTGAAGTGCCAGGCGGTTGCACATCTTTAATGACAAGCTTTTTTTTCCTTTTCCCCCATCAAGATAGATGAAGGAAAGCATAGGTCGGCCAACTTATGGAAGAAAAGGTTGTGAAAAGCTTTGTGTGAAAACGTTCTCTCAAGTCCTTGGCGAAGGACTGAAGGATGAGGCCCCAACGTGACAAGGTGGCACCAATGCACCAGGGTCAGGCGGGTCTGGGGGTGGCGTGGGGTGAGGGGGCTTCCCAGAGGTCCGGAGAAGTGAAAAGGTGGGCTATTTCGAGAGACCATCGTCCTGTGTGCATCACCCCCGTTAAGTGTGAAAGCTCTGGTGCTTCCGACAAGCAACTAGGTTGGTCCCGACACTCAGGGACGAGTTGGGAGGTTTGACTCATGAAGAATAACTCAACAGAGCCCGACCATGGGGGCGGGAGAAGGGTGATCTCAGACGCAGGTGTGTGCTGGACCCGTTATCGGAACCAGGTTGGACGAACTGAGGGATGCTCGACCTACAAGAACCTTCAGCTTGAAACCGGAGGCCGGGCCAGTTCAAGGCGCCAGTAGACCCTCGGCTCCTCAAGTCCTCTGTCCACGTGGGTTCCGAGGCCCCGCACTCACCAAAGTCGTAGAGGTTCTGGAGCACAGCATCCAGAAGTGTCTGAGAACAGGCAGGCGCAGAGGACCCCAGCCCTTGATCCTGCGCCATCGTGGGGTCTGCGGCGGCGGTACAGCCCAAAGTCTGCCGGGATTCCGGCCGCGCGGAGCCCCCGCTTCCGGGTTCTGACGGGCTGCGCGCGCGCGCGCCGCAGGTCCCCACGCGGCTTCCGTTCTAATTAAGATGGCGGCGCCCGGGGGCTTGTGGAGCGGCCGTAGAGGGTGCCGCCGCCTTAGGCGAGGTCGGGCCTCACTGCGCGGAAGAACCGCCTCCGGCAGCAGCAGCACCACCGCTTAGCAAAGAATTCCAGGCCCTGCCCAGAACGGCAGCTACACCATGGATTCTTCCAGTTCACCTAACTCTTTTTTCTCCGTCGGCTCCACCAGTCCTGGCGCTGTCGTGCTCCTCTACTCGGTAGGCGCCCAGGAAAACGAGGCCCGGGGCGGGGCCGCGAGAGAGGACCCCATTCTCCCGGTCCCGGCTTCCTCCAGCCCAAGACCCCTATGCCCCAAAAGTGGGTCCCGACGCCCCCGAGGAGGGGTTAGGTGGTTGACTTGGTTTCCAAGGCAACAGTGTATCGCTGTGTGTGTAAATGTGTGCATGCTTTTAGAAGTTTCTACTGGTGGTGGTTCCTCTGGTTCCTTTTCATTCGTTCCTTCTCTTTCCCTCCACCAGGCACTGGGCCTTCAGAACGCCCCTGACACAGGAATGAGGCGTGGGAATGCAGTCTCTCCGTCTCTAGCGGAGGTGTGTCGGGCTGGCTTTTAGGCAAACCTGAGAAACTTGGGGATCTGATCCCTTGTGAGATAGCTCCCACCACGCCCTTTTGCTGCTGTGATATTCCTGGGAGAAAAGTATTTGGCTTGTAGCTGGGCATAGAGTTTTTAAGACTTTAAGTTTTTAGTCTAGGAAGATTTGGAACTTCTGGAAATTCTTATTGCCTGTTTTTGTCATAATCTGTCATTGTGCTTTTTCCACAAGTCATTTTGGAAGACAGTGCCATCCAGCCTCTCTCCATCTCACTGTTTCACCACCAACTCCCTCCCCCTCTCTTGATTTTAACCGGTCTCTTTTGCCAACAGAATGTTGGTCATTCCCAATTTTCATGAAGAAATTATGGTGGAAGCTTTGTAGCTCTCAGGTTTGCACAATCCTGGGGCAACTGATCTTTTTTTGTTTTTTTTTTTAACCACTAAATTATTATCTACTTTAGGAGGAAATAAAGGAATGCATTTTAAAGGCAAATTACCATGTTCTGGCGATTAGTGTCAGTTTCTGACTTAAATATGTTAATTTGTGTAGGAAGGTCAAAACAGACAAAACACAGAAGAGCAAGATAAACAAAAAACTCAACTTCAAAAGAGAATATATATATATATGGCTACCTTCAAATTGGGACACCAATATTCTTTGGAACATGGGGAAACTTCTGTTTCCCTGCTGTTGAGAGCTCTGGGCTTATAATTACTATTAATTGTCCACTTCTCTGAGGCTTACCACTTGAACTTTTCTCCTCCTTGATCTTCTCACCCCATGGTTCTGTGGTGGAAATATTTTGACCTTTCCCTACAGGAGTGTAGGGAAGAGGATTGCTGTGTAGATCTGATTCACCATAGGTAGCTTTTTCAGCCCTAAACTGCTTTGTGAATTGATTGCAATTTTCCACGAGTATTAAAGGAAAGAGTTGATTTTTCACTTCCCTGTTCACTAGTAGTTCTTTAATGATCAGACTTTCCTCAACTTCTTCATGTGAAAGACTAAGGCAATTGTATGTGAGTTTTTCCTAGTTCTGAAACTAGACAGCAATCCTCACTACTCTTGTGACTGTACATTCTTTACTTTCATGACAACCTGAACTTTTTCTTACTATTTCAGGCTGTCCTTATTTATTTTCTCAGCCAAACTGTTGTTGTGCAATACTCTTATCTAGTCTGAGAGTATTATTTTAGAGACATTTACAATACTGCTGATTGCAGCAAACATTGCAGCAATGGCTACTTACCGTGTCCTAGTCATTCTCAGTGTTCAAGATATGGAAGTTAAAGATCCAACCCTTGCCTTTAAGGACTTCAAAAAAAGTCATAAAAGTAAACATAATTACAGTTAAGTGAGATAAGGGTAATGATTGAAGCATGTACAGTATGCTGTTGGAGAAATGAGAAGGAGCACCTGACCTGTTTGGAGACTTGGAAAAGGCTTCTAAGAGAAGGTGACACCTGAGCTGAGGTTTTTTTTGTTTCTTTGTGTTTTGGTGAGGAAGAGTAGCCCTGAGCTAACATCTGTTGCCAGTCCTCCTCTTTTTGCTAAGGAAGATTGGCCCTGGGCTAACATCCATGCTCATCTTCCTCTACTTTATATGTGGGATGCCACCAGAGCATGGCTTGATAAGCGGTGCGTAGCTCCACGCCCAAGATCTGAACCTGTGAACCCCGGGCCGCGGAAGCAGAGCTCACAAACTTAACCACTACACAACCGGGGCAGCCCCTGAGCTGAGTTTTTGAGCTGTGAATGAGAGATGAGGGAGAGGAAGACTGTGCTAGGCATTGATATCAGAAGACCACTCCCTTGCATGTTTGGGGGAACCAAGTAGTTAGGTAAGAGTAGAATAAAGGGGACGTGAGAAATGAAATTAAGGAAGTAAGCAGAGGATATTTCCTAAAGAAGTTTTATATATCGTGTTTACACAGCCTTAAGGTTTAAATCTTAACTTTATAGGGGATGATTTAAGGATGATCAGATTTGTATTTTTGAAAGTCTAAGAAGACTACTAGGTTTCTGGTATGGTTATTTGTATGGATAACCTCTTTTACTTAAGTAGAGATGATAGAAAGAGTATCTGGTTGGGGAAGGAATTGATGCCATGAGTGTAGAGATCAATTAGGATGCTATTTCAGTAATCCAGAGAAGTGATGAAAGCCTGAAATAAGGCAGGGGCACTGAATCTGGGGAGAAGGGAGATGGGTGAATTTGTCTGATATTTAGGACAGTTGAATGCAGTGGCTAAGGAAAAGGAGGCAGTCTGAAGTTAACTCCTGGTTTCTGTGGTTTGGCAACTGAGTGGATGATGATGCCTTTTGCTGATATGAAATATGGGGAGGGGAGCAAGTTTAGTCAGGGTTATATAATAATTTCAATTTGGGATGTGTTTGGTTTGAGATGTGGGAGGCAAACTTAATGATTTTTAACTTGTGGATTATCATGTTATGGACCAGATACATCACAAGGTGTTTGGGAGACATCCAGATAGAGTTAGAAATATAGTACCAGAACAAAAGAGGTCTGACCTTTGGAGGGGAGGAAGACCTATCCTCTACCCACTCTGGGTCCTTTCTGGCTGGGCTACGAATTAAATTAACATGAGATAGAATAACAGGAGAAAATCAAACAAAGCTTTATAACATGTATACACAGGAGAGACCCAGGAAAAGCTGGGTAACTCAACAAAAGGGCAGAGGTTCTCATCTTAAATAGCATATTCAGCTAAAGACAAAAGAGGATGTTGGGGGAGGGGGAAGTCAGCTATGGGAGATTACCAGAAAAGCACAGTAAACAAGAGTAAGGTTATTATGCAGATTTAAGGCCTTGCCTTCCACACGGATGTTTCTAGAGATGAGGTCATCCCTCCTTCTTCCCTACTGAGAGGGAGATACCTTTAGAAATGGAGATTTCCCTTACAAATTTAAATGTTTGGTAATCAGAACTTGGATAAGAATGGGCTTAGCAAGGACCCTCCCAGAATATCCATACCCAGAGTTATCTATGGTGATGGTTTGTCCTGGGGACAGGCCTTCTATCTTAAATTCTTTTAGGCAGTTAGTGGGGTGTGGTGGGAGGAGGTCAAAGCTTCTTTCAGAGAAAATAATCAAGGTAAAGAGACATTTTGAGGTGGCCAGTTCTGATCCCCCACACCTAAATATATGGATTTGGCAGCCATCAGCAAATAGGTTGTATCTGAAGCCGTAGGTCTGCTTGAAATCTTTCCATGAGACCACAGAATAAAAAGAAAACTGGGGATGGGTAATCACTGGTGTACCCGTAAACCAAATTATGGCTTCCTGTCAGAGTCTGAATGAAAAATCTGGACTCCTTACAATGCCCTACAAGACTCTACATAATCTGGCAACTGCTGCCTCTCTGATTTTGCTAATCTTGCTCATTGAGCTTCAGCCACACTGGCCTTCTGTTTCTCAGACAGTAAGCATGCCCTCTCTGCAGTGCTTGTAGCCCCCTCTGTGTGGCATGCTATGTTTTCCCAGAATTTTGCATTGCTGGCTTTTTTTTATTATTGAAATCCCAGCTCAAACATCACCTCCCCAGAGAGGCCTTCCCCAACCATTCAACCTAAAGTTTAGCTTTCCATTCACTCTTCTTCTTTAGTTATTCTATTTTATTTTCTTTATATATGTTCTTCCCAGTGTTGTGCTGCAGTAGTCTTGTACTGGCTCTCGAAGCTGATTGTTAAATTTCTTTGAAGTTTGTAAGCCCATTTTTAAAACACAGCCATTATTAAAAATTAAAGATTGTTATATAAATTTACAATTAAATAAATTCTGTAAAAACAAAAGTAATAAATACTCAAAACTCAGCACTTCCTATTTTACTAAATGTTACTTTTATCTATGCTCTTGAGGTTATTGATGTCTATCATACTGTAAGGTGGAAATACTATATAACAGTGGTGATGGCACATCTCTCCCTAACTCCATGTTCACTGAGATCATGTCAGCAGCTTGAAATCTGCCATGATGGGAGTATGTATGTACTACAGAAATTGGCAAATGCTATAAATCAGGGCTCTCTCATAGTTAAACAGTTCCCAGCACGCTACTGGTGGTGTCCTTAAGTGAACTTGCGTTATTTGTTTGTTGTCTGTCTTCCCTTAAGGGAATGTCAGCTCCCTCAGTGCATGTTCCTTGTCCACCTTGTTCATGCTGTGTTCTCAGCCTGTAGAACTGTGCCTGGTATGTTGTGGGCTCCCAATAACTGTCTGTCGAATGAATGAATCCTCCAGAGCAGTTGAAAGGGAGGTACAAGGAGAGGCCTGTTTAGCTGTCAATAAGGAGGGGCCTGCTGTACAAATTAAGATAGGGAAAACAAACAAGGGTGAAAATACTTCACCTAAATCTTCTTACTTCAGCTACTCTTTGTATTGTGCTCCTGGGTGAGTAGCTGTGTAAATATATTTTGTGATGGTAAGTACTTCTCCAGCATGGTATAGGGAAGGCCAATTAATGAGCAGAAACACTCAACCCTGGCTGTGTGTAGGAATCACCTGGAGTACTTTTAAAAATGATTCTGATGCCCAGGTACCAGTCACAGACCAAATCAAAGAATTTCTAGGGGTGTCTAGGCATCAGTATTTTTTTAAAGTGCCTCACGTTATTTTAATGTACAGCTTGGGTTAAAAACCACTGGAGTAGACATTGGGTTGGGGCCAGATTGGGAGAAGTTCGAGCTATAGCCTGTGAATATTGGGGAGCCATCATCAACAGGATTCAAGAAGTGGCTTCATTCAGTAATTTGTTTTTTCATTCTATAAACAGTGATTCATTTCCTACCATAAATTGGGAATATAAGAATGTATAAGACACATTACCTACTTAGACAAGAAGTTCACAGTCTTGTAGGGGAAACACCAAGTACAAGTTTAATGAAGTATTTTAGATGCTGCCATGAAAATGTATTGAGAGTTCAGTAAAAACTCAAGGGAGAAGATGACCAGTTCAGTTTAGGTTAAGGAGAGAATTGGGAAATAGTACACTGAGGAGGCGAACAGGAGCTGTGGTTGATGGCTAAGTATTTTGCAGGTGAACAGTGGGGACAGGCCATTTGTAAATGCCCTATCTCAGTAACTGGTCCCACCGTGCACCTTGTTACTCATAAAAGAGACTTTTTCTATCTTGATCACCACTATATCCCCCACACATACCACAATGCCGAGCCTGTAATAGGTGCTCAAATATTTGATTAATGAATGCTATTCTTAGAGATAGCAACTTAAAGATTTGAGGAGCCATGAGATATAGTTTGTTTAGAGAACTACGGGTCTTTGTATAGCTGGACTGTTGGAGAGAGGGGAATGGTAGAGAGGCAGTTGGTAGAGGGATCGTGAAAGGCCTGGGGTCATATTCTAAGAAGTGTGGACATGATCCTGCTGGTAACAGAACCATAGAAGGATTGTAGATGATCATGTCTGGCAAGCTTTTCAAAATATACATGCTTGTTGCTCTCCTTTATGAGTTCTTATCCTGAGGACTGACTCACACCTTCCCCCCACCTTATATATATATATCCCCAATTGATCCTTTTCTCTTCCCACCCCCAGGACCACTAAATGAGAAGTCTCTAAGATCCTTTTTGTCCCTAAAATTATATAATTTATAATGGTAGTTTGTTGCATTCTGCCAAGTCTGAGCCCATATAACTATATATTACTTTATTAATGTGAAATTTGAGAAGGTTCTCCAGCCTTATAAGCAAGAGTATGTGGTGTGTTACACTGAGTGCAGTGTTACACCAGAATTCCAGCAGTTAGAAAATTTTTCCCTCTTATATTCTCTATACTTTATATATGTGGGCATAAAAATGTTCGTTTGCATATTTCACATATTTTACATGCTACCCTCTTATATTGAAACTCCCCATAAATGCTCTTTGCTTCTATTTATATTCTCATTATGCCTGATCATAGTCTCAGTTTAACATTCTGTATTTTTTTATTACCTCAACATTTAGTCCTTTAATTATTGACCAATAATGCCATATTCCAAACACAGCTAGATGTTGGAAATACAAAGAGGTCCCAAACCGACTTGTCCTCAAGATAATAACATTTTAGTAGGGAGACAGACATGCAAACGAGTACAGTGTTATGGGATACGTACCATAGTAGATATATGTACAGTCCCAGACTTACCATGGCACTTAGAATTCTACACATTCAGTAGAAATCGTACTTCAGATTTTGAATTTTGATTTTTTCCCAGGCTCACAATATGCAGTACGATACTCTCTTGTGATGCTGGGCAGTGGCAGGAAGCCACAGTTCTCAGTCAGCCACACAGTCATGAAGGTAAACAACTGATACACTGACAACCATTCTGTTTTTCACTTTCAGTACAGTAGTCAATAAATTACGTGAGATATTCAACACTTTATTATAAAATAGGCTTTGTGTTAGATAGTTTTGCCCAACTATAGGCTAATGTAAGTATTCTGAGCGTAATAAGGTAGGCTAGGCTAAAGTATGATGTTCAGTAGGTTAGGTGTATTAAATACCTTTTTGACTTAGGATATTTTCAACTTAACGATGGGTTTATCAGGGTGTAACCCCATCATCAGTCGAGGAAGATCTGTAGTAGGTAAAGAAGTCCTAAGGCGGAAAGCAGAGTAATTCTATCTCGGGAACTCAGTTTTCACAGAATAGTGATGCCTAAGCAAGGATGACAGAGGAACAGAAGGGTATTCCAGGCGGAGAGATGAGCATGTGCAAAGGCCCAAAGGTGTGTCAATAGTGAACTATATTGGGGAAATGCAAATCACTCGCTGTTGAGTAGACCAGAGCATGGTGGGCCATGAGTCTGGAAGAGAAGGAAAGACCAGGTCATAGAGGTTCTCAGATGATGTCAGAAGTGGCTTAGGTCTTATTCTGAAGGAGGTGGGGAGTCATTTAAGTATTTTAAACAGGGAACAATCTGGTCAGAATTGTGTTTTGAAAAGAGCACATGGCAGCATGGAGGATTGATTCAGAGGTGGCAAAACAGGCAAGGAGACCGGTGAAGAGGCTACTGTGATAAAGAGCACAGGCTGGACGCGTGAATGTGGAGTAGACATGATATATTCCTAAAGGTCGTGTTAACAGGATTGGATGGATTGGATTTGTAAAGGGTGAGGGAGTAGAGGTCTAGAATGATGCAAAGTGATGTAGATGGCTTGGTGGTTGCTGATTGAGATTTCAGGAAAATAATCAGGTTGTAAGAGTGTGCAGAGCGGGGAATGAGTTCAGTTTTGGAAAGGCCAAGTGTGAAGTGTTTGCAACTAAATATGTGTATTGGGAGCTCAGATGGGAGAAGAAGGCAAAGATTCAGAAACACATATAATTAGTATTTTAAACCAGTTGAGTAGGTAGAGTACTCAGCATACTGTGTGAAGAAGAGAGTTGGGGATGTTAACATATTAAGGAAAGTGGGAGGAAAGAAACATATTTGTAGGTTTGGAGGGAAAATCTCCCCCAAGTTGAGAATCACTGGATTAGAGAAATGAGGTATATTTTCCACTGAGACAGGGAGAGTCATGAATTAAAAACCAAAGTAGGAAAATTTCAGGATTGTTGGAGGTAGAGAAAGAAGGGAGCACTTGAGAATGGTGGCATGCCATAGAGAGGTCTAGCAGGATAAAGACTAGAAAGAGGCCAGAGTTTAATGATTCAATTCGAAAGAAGTAATAATGGTTATTGCACTTTTTATAATAGCAATGAGTGAAAAATAATCCATATGTCCAACATTAAACATAATGTTCTGGAAGAAACTTAAATGACGTGGAGGAGTGTTTGTGAGATTAAGTGAAAAAATCAGGTGGCAAATCAAAATGTATGTGTGGCAGGTGGAGGGAATGTGTCTACATGCACAGAAAAAAGCGCTCACTAAAATGGTCTCTGGATCATTGGATGACAGGTGATTTTAATTTTCTTTGTGTTTTGCTGTATCTTCTAAATTTTTACAATGAACATGTATCACTTCGATAATTAGAAAAAATTATTTTAAGAAGTTAAGGGAACATAAAGGCGATTATGCAGCCACTAAAATGTTTTAAAACAATATTTAATATAGGGAAATACTCATAATTGAAAAGGTAAGATAAACTTTATTTGGTGTGGTCCATGTCTTGAATAAAAAAATATGTATTTCTGTAGCTATGAATGAAATAAAATAAGGAAGCTAGTAAGTGTTAAGAGTAGCTATGCCTGGGGTGTAAAATGATGGGCAGTTTGTATTTACTTGTTTCTTTCTGTTTCCAAATTTTCCACAATTAAACGTGATGAGGAGTGTAGGATAGTGGCTAGGAGTAAGGTCTGTGAAGCCATAAGGCTCGAGTCTGAATAATGTCTCTTTTGTGAGCTGTGGGACCTTAGGTGAGTTATTTCACTTCCCCATGCCTTGGTTTCCCCATCGTAAAATGGGGGTAATGTTAACAACTACTTCATAGGTTTATTTTGAGGATTGTTCCTGAATGTATGTAAAGTTCTTAGAATAGTGCCTGACGCTTAGTAAACAACTATACCTGTTAGCTATAAGTATAATTATTATTCCTACTATGACTTTTATAATCAGAAAAACAAACTCTTAAGAATTAACAATGCCGGGCCGGCCCCGTGGCTTAACGGGTAAGTGCTCGTACTCCAATGCTGGCGGCCGAGGTTCGGATCCCAGGCGCGCACAGACGCACCGCTTCTCCGGCCATGCTGAGGCCGCGTCCCACATACAGCAACTAGAAGGATGTGCAACTATGACATACAACTATCTACTGGGGCTTTGGGGGAAAAATAAATAAATAAATAAAATTATAAAAAAAAAAAAAAGAATTAACAATGCAGACAGAAGTCATTCGTAGCCTGATAAACAGCAGTTTCAGGGGCTGGTTGGGTAGAAGCTGAATTGCAGTGGGTTGAATGCAGCTAAGAAAGTCCTCACAGCAAATGCAGACTGCTCAATAAGAGCTTATACAGGAGCACTTTTTTCTTGAGTGAATTTTCCTTTTGTTTGCTCCCATGTAGTTTTATTTGATTTGACATAATTTTGAGTTTCTAATGTATTCTTTGATTTAATTTTTAAAGCTGAGTAGAAGAGGCAGACAAAACAAGTTTAACAGTGTGATTGATGAAACCTTGTAAAATTGATCAGATTACTCTAGAGTTTAATATCTCATCTTTATTGTCTTTGTTAACTTTCCCAAAGAGGTACTAGCTTTACAAAGATAGCAATCAGAAAAATAATAATAAACTGTTATGATAATTCAATATCAGTTTATTGATCCTAATTATCATTACATTTCTTTTTCTTAGTATATAAAAATCTAACATCAGAACACTCTGCTGTGGTTCATATGTCATAGAATAAAAATTCTGGCAAAGGTGAAACCTTACCAATGTAGTCCCTAATCTGTCTTAATTTATTTTACAGTATGTGCATTACTTTTTTTGATTTGCTTCATCCACAGAAGGAGCTCAAAAAGTGGGATGAGTTTGAAGATATTTTAGAGGAGAGGAGGCATGTCAGTGACTTGAAATTTGCAATGAAATGCTACACACCTCTTGTCTATAAGGGAATTACTCCTTGCAAGCCAAGTGATATTAAAAGTAGCGTTCTCAATTCTGAACAGGTTCATTACATCATTAAACAGGTAAGTAAGTGATTTCCTCTTTAACCATAGCCAGATTTGTTCATTGTCAACAAGTTCTTTCTCTTCTTGATTCTATGAATTTATTTTGGTATCTTTAATGGATTTTTTTTTTTTTTTTTGGTGAGGAAAATTGGCCCTGAGCTAACATCTATTGCCAGTCTTCCTCTTTTTGCTTGAGGAAGGTTGTCCCTGAGCTAATATCTGTGCTAATCTCCCTCTCTTTGTATGTGGGATGCCAACACAGCATGGCTTGATGAGCAGTGTGTAGGTCCATGCCTGGGATCCAAACCCATGAACCCTGGGCCGCCGAAGTAGAGCGCGCGTGCTTAACCACTACGCCACAGGCCGGCCCCTTTAACGCATCTTTTTAAATTTTGCTATATTCAGCACATTCATCAGATGTTTATCGTACTCATAATGTGTGTTGGCCTCTTTGCTAGAAACACTGGGGGTCTGACAGTGAGCAAGCTGAACAGAGTTCTTGACCTCTTAACTGTAGTCTGAGAGGGAATGATGAGTTGTACACTCAATTAGAATGAAGTATAAGACATGCTAGTGGGAGCCCAATGTGTAGGAACACTAATTAGTTACAGGGGCAACTCATTTTGTGTATTGAATTACAGAAGTGGTTTTTAAAATGAGGCCCTAAAGGTGATTAGAGGTTTTGCACGTGAAGTGGGTTTCTGCCCTCTCTTCCTTTCCAGCCTTTGTTAGGATTATCTTAATAGCTGTTTCACCAACATCCTTACTTCTCCTGTGCCCCAATCTGCCTTCCAGACTGCCCAGAAAAAAAACACAGCCCAGGATCTGTGCCACTGCACCTTCTCTGTTCATATAACCAGGTACCTACCTGGCTGCTTCCAGGAGGATGGGCAGAGTTATGCAGATCGATGCTCTTCAAACACAGGGTCCCTTCTTATGTCAGTCCCTTTTCTAATGTTGCTTCTCCCTCCCTTCCCCTCAGCTCTACCCAACCTTCATGCTGCCTTAAGCTGTTATTAGACCCTACCTCCCTTGCCATTAGTAAACAATCATATATTTTTCTTTGGAATAATGAAAAATATTAGAAATTATCTTCCTCAAATTCCTGTTCCTTATCTTCAAATGTATCTGTATCTCTATCCATTCCCATGTATGCTTTTTAGTCTAGGCTCAGAGACAAGGCTAACCACACGTCTGTGCCTTGATGCCATCCCTTTCAGTCTCTTCTACGACCTTCTGGCAGGCATCCTCCCCCTTCCCTCTCTCTTCAGCCTTTCTTTCTCAGTTGACTTCTTCCCTTTAGTCTGTAAACAGATCCAAGGCCACTGAACTGTACATTTAGAAATGGGTAAAATGGAAAATTTTATGTTATGTATATTTTATCATAATTTTTAAAAATGGGATGATGATTAAAAAAACAAAAAATAGGTCCAAGGCTTTTCCAGCTTGGGAAAGCGTTTTTGCTTTAACTGTTATCCTCCCTCTCCTCCTTCTCATTCACACTTTTCAGTTACTCATTCTGTGGCCACTGTCTTTACTTCCCTACCTCCTGTTTATTTAGTCTTCAGTCCATTTATATTCCATATGGGTTATCTTCTGGCCCTATTACTAAACCTTTCTTGCTACATCACTGTTTTAGATAACCTTTGAGTAAAATAAAGGAATACAGGTTAAGAGGAAACAGTTATCCTAGTCCCACACCCTTGAGTCTATTGAATTGAGCCCTCAAAAAGATAAGATATGGAGCTAGGTAGAGGATGATTGCACATTTGTGAATGTACTAAATGCCACTGAATTGTTTACTTTAAAATGGCTAATTTTATGTTATGTTAATTTCACTTCAATTTTTAGAGAAGGAGGAGATACTTCTTCACTGCATGTAATTGGGGAAGTTGGGACTCCAGCATCGCATCCTCTAATATTCTGTGCCTCATCCTAAAGCAGAGCATTCTCCTTTGGGAAGGATGAATATTATTTATCACATAGACTTTACTCTTTTTCAAAGTGCTTGTTTAGGGGAAAGTTAAAAGGATCAAATTAGGCTTGAGGACAGGAACTGTGACTTGTTCATCTCCAGGCCCTTGGCAGTCCTGGCACACAGCCAACATTTTATTCTCTTAAAGATGTGGTATGACCTGTGAATAAAGAGAGTTCCATTGTGAGATCATTGCTTTCACTAATTATCCTGTGATGGTTTGGGGATTTTTGTACCAGTTTCCTATATATCTGATATGGCCGGAATGGTTATTTCAATATAATCTTATATTCTTACCTTGTATATTACCTTGTAATAGCATTGAGCAAGCTGATGAAGTGCTGCAACAATCTACTGACAGAAACTACTAAATGTATATTCTAGGACACTACATTATGGGCAACAACTTATTTTAGAGAATTTGCACGTAATCTCATTAACAAATCTAATGGAAAGGTGAGATGTTTTCTTTAGTCTAAAATGCTATTCTGGAAAACCGATTCTCTTGGAATTTCTAGTCTTTAAACTTGTCTAAATAGGATCATGTATCTACTTTTGTTATGTTGGAAAATAAATTATGTCAATTTAAATTAAGGAGAAAACATAGCATTTTTGAGTTACACAATATTGATCCATATGGAATTAGTCATACTGGTTTAAGTAAAAGGAGTTCTGACCCCTTTTTTTCCAGAAATTTATCCCTGCTTTCCTTTTCCTTTTAGCTTTCCAAGGAATCCCTTCAATCTGTTGATGTCCTCCGAGAGGAAGTTTGTGAGATCTTAGATGAGATGAGCCACAAACTGCGTCTGGGAGCCATCCGGTTTTTTGCCTTTGCCCTGAGCAAAATATTTAAACAGATTTTCTTGAAAGTGTGTGTAAATGAAGAGGGTATTCAGAAAGTAAGTATTGCTTATTAAAAAACAATCTCTTCTTCAAACCCCTCACAATTTAGTCAACTCAAAGACTTGTCACTGCGCTAAATGAGCAGGCCCTAGTTGTCAGGCATCAGTCTGGCAGAAGAGGCTCTCCCTTTCTGGATGGTGTGTTTTTTCCCTTGACCTGCAGACCCACAGGCTTCAGACTAGCTTAATTAGTCAGGTGAGACCTACAGACTAACCTAATGTCAGACGTTCACCGAGTTACCAACGTAATAGAAAGGATTTCTGTATTTGCTTCACTTGGACTCTCCAACAACATTTCCTTTATCCTTTCATCAGTACTCTGGTGTGTTTTTCCTCTAAACAAGGACATTTTCTTATGGTGCAATTATCAAAATAAGCAAATTAACGTTGATACGATACTACTAATACAGACCTTATTCATATTTCATTAATTGTCCCAGTTGGATAGCTATCTTGGATAGCACAAGAAAATCCTACATCATGTATTACATTCAGCTTTCATATCTCTTTAGACTCTTTTAATCTAGAACAATTCCTTAGACTTTGTTGGTATTTCATGATCTTATTTTTGAAGAGAACAGACCAGCTATTTTATAGTGTCCCCCGATTTGGGTTTGAGTGATGTTTTCTCAATATTAGCCTCAGATTGTGTACTTTTGACAGGAATATCTCAGAGTGATGTTGTATCCTTCTTGGTACATCAGATCAGGAGAACATGGTGTCTGTCTGATTACTGGTGATGTTCACTTTCATCATTTGGTTAAGGTGATATTTACCAAATTTCTCCACTGTCAAGTTACTATTTTTCCCAGTGTAATTAATAATTATCTTGTGGAGAGATACTTTAAGAATGGTTCAGTGTCCTGTTTTTCATCATACTTTCCTCTGCTAGTTTTTACATCTACTGCTGATTTTTGCCTGAATCAGTTATTACTCTAATGATTGTCAAATGGTGATTTTTCTAATTCCATCACTCCTATTATTTAATAGTTTGCTTTTTTCTATAAGAAAGAGCTTTCCCTATGAAGATTATTTTTATTCATTTATATTTTTTAATACTTTTTTTCCTCTAACTAGGAAGCTCCTACCTTCATTGACCTTTGTCCTTGTGCTTTTTAATGTGTTGTTTTTATTCAGTCATTCACCTTACTTTCAAATATTTCTTCTTTTTCCTTCTATGACTATTTTTAGATTGCTGACTCTGGATCTCTGTCAAAGAATGTTTGGTACAGTGTTTAGGGCCAGGGAATGTTGGCTGGCCATGTCTTAACTCATCACAAATTACCCTGCCTCGGTTAGTTATATTTAGATTTCAGAAAAACAGGTAATACATTGATACTAGTGAATATTTTAGAGGTTTATGTCCTGAGGAATATATCTAGAAGCTCAAATGCATCCCTCCCACTTGATGGCATCCATCTCCCTGGCAGTGAGTCAAGTGTATAAGTAGAGAAATCCATTCCTCTCGTTCGTCCTAATAATTCATAGATTTTTTTTTTAACCTCCCCAAGAGAAGCTTTGTTCTCTCTTACTGTGGACAACCAGCCTAGTGCAGCAGTTAACAGGTGACTTTTTAATTCAGACTGACATCAATCCCATTCCCAGCACCACCATTTATTAGATGCATGGACCGTGCCACAAACAAGGAAGCTAAGGCTTAGGCTTAGTTACAAATATGTGGTATTAAAGAATGCACATAAAATGCTTAGTAGGTAAAAGGTTTAATATGGTGCCCAACTAATATATGTTAGTGATCATCACTACTATTATTGTGATTCATAAAAATTTACATTTTTAATGTTCTTGTATTGTGTGAGATGGTTTAATTAGAACTCTGAAATAAGTTTTGTGTGTGTGGTAGGGGATGCTGAAAAACGTTGTTAGTATTCCCTCTATACATGCACATGTTCTTCCAATTTCTGATTTGAGATATGATCTTAATAATATGAAAACTGAAATTATTAAAAATGTAACATTTATTTTAAAGCTACAACGAGCCATCCAGGAGCATCCAGTTGTTCTGCTGCCTAGTCATCGAAGTTACGTTGACTTTCTGTTATTGTCTTTTCTTTTATACAACTATGATTTACCTGTACCAGTCATAGCAGCAGGAATAGGTATGTATTGTTTTTCTACTTTTTTTGTTGTAAAAATTAAAATGTTCACTGGAATGATTTTAACAATACCAAGGTATTTGAAGAAGATGATGAAAAAAACCTCTCCCTTCTTTTTTCCAATCCCAGTGTTTAATAGTTTGGATTACATCCTTCTATACTGTGCTCTATTATGCCTAAAACAGACATAAACCAAAAACCCTATGCACATATATGCTTGTTTAGGTTTGAAAAATGAGATTATATTACTTTTATGAGTTACCTACCTTACCTGCCTTTTGCTTTTTTTTAATTTGATAATATATCAATGACTATTTTTATAGGTCAGGAAATAGATCTAACTTTTTTTTTACATGTTTTTAAATTGTAAATTTAAACATATTTAACATATTTAAACATAAAATTTTCCATCTTAACCATTTTTAAGTGTTCAGTTCAGTGGCATTAAGTATATTCACATTGTTATACTACCATCACCACCATCCATCCACAGGTCTTTTCATCTTGCAAAGCTGAAATTCTGTTCCCATTAAACACTGACTCTCTATTCTACTCTCTCCCTAAGCACCTGACAACCACCGTTCTACTTTCTGTTTCTATGAATTTGACTCCGCTAGATACCTCATAGAAGTGGAATCATACAATATTTGTTTTTTTGTAACTGGTTTATTTCACTCAGCGTAATGTCTTCAAGGTTCATTCGTGTTGTAGCATGTGTCAGAATTTTCTTCCTCTTTAAGACTGAATAATATTCCATTGTATGTATACACCACATTTTGTTTATCCATTCATCTGTCAAATGGACACTTGGGTTGCTCCCACCTTTTGGCTATTGTGAATAGTGCTGCTATGAAGCCAGGTGTATAAATATCTGTTCCAAGTCTCTGCTTTCAGTTCTTCCAGGTGTATACCCAGAAGTAGAATTTCTGGGTTATATGGTAACTTTATTTTTAACTTTTTGAAGAACTGCCGTATTATTTTCCATAGTGGCCACACCATTTTATATTCCCACCAGCAGTGCACAAGTTTTCCCATTTCCCCACATCCTCACCAACACTTGTTGTTTTCTGTTTTGGTTTTTTTTATAATAGCCCTAATGGGTGTGAAGTCATATCTCATCATGATTTTGCTTTGCATTTCCCTAATGATTAATAATGTTGAGCATCTTTTCATATACTTGTTGGCCATTTCTATATCTTCTTCAGAGAAATATCTATTCAAGTCCTTTGCCCATTTTTAAATCGGGTTGTTTTTTTGTTGAGTTGTAGGAGTTCTTCATATATTCTGGATATTAACCCCTTATCAGATATATGACTTGCAAATATTTTCTCTCATTCTGTGAGTTGACTTTTCTCTCTATTGATTGTGTCCTTTGATGCACAGAAGTTTTTAATTTTGATATAGTCCAATTTATCTGGATTTTTTTCTTTTGTTTTCTGTGCTTTTGATATATCTGAGAAATCATTGCCAAATCCAGTGTCATGAAGCTTCTTACATATGTTTCCTTTAAGAGTTGTATAGTTTTAGGTCTTACATTTAGGTCTTTGATACATTTTGAGTTAATTTTTGTATATGGTTTAAGATAAGGGTGCAACTTCATGCATAACATTTTTAATAGCTGTATAATATTCAGCAGTGTAGATGTATCATAATTTCATTGTTTTGCTGTTACAGACAATTTTACAATATACTTTTATGTTGGTGCTTTTATTTCTGTAGGATTGATTCCTAAAAGTAGGATTATTAAGGCAAATAAATAGTTTATCACCTCCTGTCACGGTAGCCAGGAAAGCAGAGATTCGAGCGTGCGCCTTTGTTAATAAATGCAGTAAACAGGGAGGTAAAAACTGCCCGAGACTTAGGCACTCTAAAAGCGTTTTCACCTGTATAGACGTGTGAGGAAGTTAATTGGAAATTAGGGAAAATGAAAAGAAGGACTGTTTTAAAACTGATGGTAGAACTTTTCTTCTCACCCCAGACTTGCTTTATTTAATTTGTGCCACTAAAAGAAGGTTGATTTTTTTTTTTAATTCAGAAATTCTATTGACCACTGCAGTTTTAGCCTAAGATCCAGTTCAAACAAATGCACAAAACTAAATTACACATTTTAAATCATTAAAGTAGTTGGATGAGGATCAAAATTCATACTGATTTCATTTCACTTAAAGCATATTTCAAAGCAAACAGGCATTGAAAGTAAATATCCCTACTATATGGTAATTGCAATTTTCTGCAGAGGTCGTTGCGAGGCCCTCAGAGTCAATCGTCTGTCTCCTCCTAGTATGAAATAATGTGGAGGCCAAGGGCCTAGGGAGCCCCATGCTTGAAAGAAAGTCTCTCTTTAATCAGTCTCCTTCAAGCATTTTCTGTCCTTGTCTCAGAAACATCCATGCCCCTTTCTGAGGCTCTTCTTCCTCATGGGCATCTGGGGCATTAATGTTGCCCAGGATCCTTACTCCTTAAGAGAATAAAGCATCTGATAAACTATTTCCAACAAAATATTAGTGACTTAAATACATTAATTTCTTCCTCCTTTTTGACACAGATAATTCCAATTTTAACCCATGTGTCAGCATACCCAACCTCCAGCCCAATCCTGGATCCTTCCTTCCGAGATTTCTGTGCATTCCTATGGTTAACCCTCTCCCTCGTATCACTAATGTGTCTGAGTTTTTGTTCCCAAGAGTCAGAAGGTTGATATTTTTCCCTGATGGGTAAAAAAGAAAGGTGAGAGCTGGTTTGGCCTGGCTGTCCGGAGTGTGGGGGACTCATGTTGGTCTGTCGTCAAGTTCAGCAGCAGTGCTGACTAAAGAAATTGGCATGATGACGTTGTTGTGGTTGTCATACTGCCTTCTGTTGCCTTCACCCCCAGCCGGTCTGGTTGTAGATGCAGAGGTTCGTGGAGGGACATAAGGTGACCTCGCAGGGAGCAGCGGCCCACAGAGTCCCTTCTTTTCCATAATTCTATGAGATGTCTCTTCTTAGGGATTTTAGTCTCAGAGAGTATAATTATTAATATCATAGGGGTGTTTTACGTACATGAAATCGTTCTTAATAGAGTTTGAGTTTAGGCCGGCCCCATGGTTTGGCGGTTGAGTGCGCGTGCTCCGCTGCTGGCGGCCCGGGTTCGGATCCCGGGTGCGCACTGACGCACCGCTTCTCTGGCCATGCTGAGGCCATGTCCCACATGCAGCAACTAGAAGGGTGTGCAACTATGACATACAACTATCTACTGAGGCTTTGGGGGAAAAATAAATAAATAAAAAAATTAAAAAAAAAAAAAGAGTTTGAGTTTAGATCTTTATAGAAAGTTTCAAGATCTGCCAATGAATATTAACCCCATCTTTATTTTTTAGACTTCCTAGGGATGAAAATGATTGGCGAGCTGCTGCGGATGTCGGGTGCCTTTTTCATGCGGCGCACGTTTGGTGGCAATAAACTCTACTGGGCTGTATTCTCTGAATATGTAAAAACTATGTTACGGGTAAATGCAAATAATTACCAAGTTCTTTCAAGCTATATTTTCTTTTCACTGAAGTTTGCTATAAGGTCTTATTTAAATTCTTGACTTCTTAATGACTGCTTAGCTTTTTTTTTCCCTTCAAGCAATGTGCATAACCTCAGCAATCTGTTTACTCTGTGCAGCTCTCTTGTTTAAGTTTCACTGTAAGCAGTGTTTGTTCAGAGGGCTGGGGAGGGAGCTGGGGAAAAGGAATCAAAAGAAGCATGTATCACTTTGAGGATAGGCAATGGGTTTTGTGTTTTGTTTTGTTTGTTTGTGTTCTCTCTTTAAAGAATGGTTATGCTCCTGTTGAATTTTACCTCGAAGGGACAAGAAGCCGTTCTTCTAAGACATTGACTCCTAAATTTGGTAGGTCACCTACAGAGTGAAGTTAAAACACCAACCCAAAGGCTTTAGGTGTGGTGTCGTCATAACTGCTAAGTAGAACTTGACACTTTTTTTTGCAAGACACTTTCTTTTCTTTATAAGTGTAACTATTTAAGTTTAACTGTTTATATTTTGGGGCTTAGTATATAAAGTACACTTTTAGTATCTTCCTGTTTATATGCCTTGTTTTTCCTACTCTTCAATATGTATGTAAAAACCATTTCTCCCTGTCTACAGGTCTTCTGAATATTGTGATGGAACCATTTTTTAAAAGAGAAGTTTTTGATACCTACCTTGTTCCAATTAGCATCAGTTATGATAAGATATTGGAAGAAACTCTTTATGTAAATGAGCTTCTGGGCATTCCTAAGCCAAAAGAATCTACATCAGTACGTAAAGGAGAGCCAAACTTGATTTTCTTGGAATTGAGAGGAAATGCTGGTTTAAACATAACTATTTTCTGAATTTACCCCTTTTTGTTTTCTTTTCCCCTGTTGTGATACTATTAGAGATTGTTGAAAGCCAGGAGGATTCTCTCTGAAAATTTTGGAAACATCCATGTATACTTTGGAGACCCTGTGTCACTTCGATCTCTGGCAGCTGGGAGGATGAGCCGAAGCCCATATAACTTGGTTCCAAGGTGCAAGGCCTGTGTTTTCATAACTGTCATAGAAACAGTGGTGAAAATCTGAAAGTGTGAATTGTGATTCTTGAATTGACCACTTCTAGGACTGAAACTGGGTTATTTGAGATCGCACGTTGGGGAAGCAGAAAGCTTCAATTCAAGAAGAATTGTATGTTTGCCAAAAAACAATTATCTGCAGAATATATATGTCAAATTTGCCAAGTCAGACAGTGCTCATTCTTCTCAGGGGAACCAGTACCCTACTAACTTAAGAGTGGGAAGAAATACACCATTGTTAACAGTGCGTGTATGGGAATTGTTGAGCACTATTGGTAGGCCAGCCAAAATATGTACTAAGTATTATTTTTGAACCTAGAAAGAATTGTATAATAATAATGGATGAGAGTGAGTCCCTGTTCTCAAGAAGGTTATAGTTTTATGGGCAAGGAATATATTAGGTTCTTTCAGGATACAGGATACATTTGGGGTTTTCTTAATTTAGAGAAATACATCTGGGGAAGTAAGGGAAATAGAAACCATCTGTCCAGCCAGGCCTCGCTAACTGCAACATCGTTCATAATTTATCTGTGGCGCCAATGGTCCCACAACAGCTAGAGTGCCTCACTAGCAGCTTTGTTAGCTATCAGAAGCGGGTGTTAGCTTTTTGCTTTCTCTCTACAGATCTCAAATTGGGTTGGCCATTTATTATCTAGTACAGGGTACCCTCACTGGCTACACGTTTCACATTAAGCCACCTTATTATGTGGCTTGCTTTTAGGTCATATGCATAGCCCTGCTCCAACCAGCTCTGGTAGGTTCCCCATATCATCCAATTCAAAGTTTGGTGATCCATGCATGAAGAGGCCGTCAGGTGAGGGTCGTGGTGGTACTTGGCAGATGCCCTGAAGCTTCTCAGAAGGGCATTGTAGCAGTCAGGCAAACCTTACGGCCTATCCAGGGCAGACGTGAGCAGTTATCATATAACCTGATAAGTATGTTCTACAAGAGGTTCAAAGTACTGTGGATTTTGAGAAGACAGGATAGTTCATTCTGCTGGGGGAGGAATCGGTTTTCATAGAAGTGATATATTCTATTTATAAAGCAACAAAAAGTTTTTGCTTGGAACCAGGAATAATGGGACCCTGTTCCCTTGAGTATATTTTTATCACCTCTCCAGAGCATACCCTAGAGGTGTATGGACAGGTTACGCTACAGTAAAGCAAAGGTATACTTCTTGCAGTGTGACCTGGGAGAATTTGGTTGGCAGAAAGTATGAGAAGCCTTCTAAAGGGTCTGTCTTCTCCCATTCCCCTCTCCGTTCACATTTGTCTAGGTAGCAGAAATGTAATTTGTTGTTCTGTACTCTTCCTTTTAGATATATTCCTCAGAAGCAATCAGAGGACATGCATGCCTTTGTCGTCGAAGTTGCCTACAAAATGCAGCTTCTGCAAATTCAAAACTTGGTTCTGAACCCGTGGGCCCTAACAGTTGCTGTTCTGCTTCAGAACCAGCCATCCATGGACTTTGACGCTCTGGTGGAAAAGACTTTATGGCTGAAAGGCTTAACCCAGGCCTTCGGGGGGTTTCTCACTTGGCCTGGTATGTATGTGGGACATATGTGATGAGAATGCATGCTTTTTTTACTTCTTAATTTGAAAAAGTTATGGCCTAGATATGAAAAACCTGTATAGGACTTTGAGAAAAGCATTGCTCAGAGAGAGAACAAAAACCTAATCTGATTTTATCACTATAGGACACAGAACACAGCGTGTTGATTATTTGAGAATAATGATTCACATGTCATTTCTCCCTACGAGACTCTGAATGTCTTGAGGACTAGAATACCATCTCCTTGGCACGTAGGAGAGTGGAGAATCAGTAATGAATCTTCTTGTACTCCACATGTCCTTCCCTCTACACCACCTCTTTTTAAACCTCATTATATTTGCAACCCATTTGCCTCACTGGATTGTAAGGATTAAAGGGCTGGTCACATAGAACTTTATACAATTCTCTGATAATAACAACTTGGTAAAACTTCATTGGAGTTATGAATACTACAGTGGGAGTTTGGGATGTGTATGACAATAGTTAGCTCAAGTTGTTTTCAATCTCTGATTTAAAATGGTAGAGACTACAGTTGGAAACGCAATCCTTTTAAGATCAGGTAATTATTTATAGTCAGGTACCTACTGTACTCATGACACCTATATTGAGTACCTAGTTGGTGCTAGATACCACCAGGGATGCCAAAATGAACAAGATGCAGCCCCTGTTCTGGAGGTTCTTCTGTTTTGTGGAGGGCAGGGGTGAGTCTTTACTAGTTATGTGTAAACTAGTAAAGAGGGTTCCGTGGAATAAAGACAGAGCTATGGACAAATTGCAGAGGGTCACTGAGAATACTGTGCAGGCGAGGGCCCACACTCAGGGAAGATTTCATAGAAGTGATGTTTGAACCTATCTTGATGGAAAAGTAGGAGCTCTTCAGGAAGATGAACAAGAGAGGATATTGCTAACGTAGGGATTAGGAAATGGGAAATGGCGTGACACCACCAGGTATTCCCTTAACCTGCAAGTGGTTTGGTAATGTTAGAATGTTGGCTATGAATAAGGCAGTGAGGGAAGTGAAGGACATGGATGGCAGCTAGGTCGTATAGGTCTGCATACCTGAGGATCTGGACTGGAATCTGTAGGTTATGGGAAGCAGTTGTATGTCATATATATTCAGTTCCTTTTTTCTTTTTTACTCAGATTATCCCATATTCCTAAGCATTCTCATATCTAGAGCTTTTTATTATATATATATATCATTATATCATATTATGCATATAGATATAAAATATTATCGTATACTATATCATTACCTTGAGCAAGCTGAGACAAGGCAGATTAGTCCAGAACAAATGTGATCAAGTCCAGAAGGAAAACCACACCTCTTACTTGTCCCTTCCGTGAAGCATTAGCAAAACTTGTTGCCCAGATTGAGCAGTGTGCCTGCTTACATATCTCTGTCAGCCACCTCTTGGCCCAGGTTAACAGTAAAATGATTTCCCTTACCAAAAATATTTTTGAAATATCACCATCTCTTCACTATGCTTCTGGAATTCTAACTCTTTGGCTATCTCCAGGCCAGTGTAGTGTCAGGTGATGAGTTACTAGGAACTGTTATGGGTCCACTCTTTAGTTATCTTTGATGTATGAAAACCAGAAAACTTCTCAGCATCCCTCTGTGCTCAGGGAGGCCTCTTCGGTTCACCTGCAAAGTTGCAAAGTGTTATTCTTGCCATCTTGGAATTGGTCTAAGCGAGTGTGTGTGTGTGTGTGTGTGTGTGTGTGTGTGTGTGTGTGTGTGTGAAGCATGTTTTAATATACTTATACCCTGATCATGGGCCTTCTTATCTTAATATTATTAAATTCATATATGTGATTTTCTTGTCATCTAGCTTGCTATTACAAAACTTTGGATACCCTAGTTCTGAGGAAGTGTTGGTTTTCAGAGTGTGAATTGAGTGCATTTCAGAATGGCTGCCAAATTTGGGGTAGATAAGAAAGTATGTTACATGTCCTTAGAGAGATTTGATTTTTGAAATAGTACTTTTAAAATATCCTTCACATATTGTATCATTACCTCAATTGGTAGAACCTAAAACCAGTACCTGGCACTTGAAAATAAATATATCAGGTCACTAGCATTGATGCATACTAGGCCTAAGACTCCCAGCAGTGACCCATCCCGTTTCTTTGCCATTTGCCTGAATGAATTGTCTTTGTGTGTAGATAATGAACCTGCTGAGGAAGTTATCCATTCCAGCATTCTTCTGCATTCCAACATCGCCAGCCTCGTCAAGGACAAGGTGGTTCTAAAATTGGAGTCCGGGGACTCAGAAGTGGTCGATGGACTTATTTTCCAGCACATCACTCTCCTCCTGTGCTCAACTTATAAGAACCAGTTGCTCAACGTTTTTGTTCGTCCCTCCTTAGTAGCTGTGGCATTGCAGATGACACCTGGGTTCAGGAAAGGTAACTTTCGGGAATGTGGTCTTGCATTTTGGAAGAGACTGGGCCATTCAGTTCCATGTAGGGAACAACGTTCAAAGTCTTATAATGCTCAGCCACATGTGTGCAGCCCACACCCCAGCAAGGAATGGGGCCTGAACACTCAGAGGAAGTTAGGTTTTTTCCCTAAATATGTGGCCATCTGCTTAGGATTTGGGAATTGAAAGGGACCTAAGAAATTATCTAACCTAAACCTCTCCTTTTATAAATAAGGAAAATTAGACCTAGAAAGTTACATAATCATGTAAGGAAGGATCTGGGACTAGAGTACAGTTCTCCAGTTCCTGGCCTGATGTTCTTTTTCTGCCGTAACAGTTCTCTCATTCGCAGAAGCAGACGGGGTGACGAAACAATCCAGCAGTATATGAGTGCTTGCTAGATGCACAGTAGCATTCTAGTTGCAATGAGGAGTGTAAAAACAAGTAAAACACAGTTTTTGTTCACAGGAACGTGTAGTCAAGGCCAGGAGTTTCTACCCAGACTACATATTAGAATCACTGGAGGGTGCGCCCCACTCCCAAATGTTCTGATTCAATTGGTCTGGAGAATGGACCAGACATTGGTGTTTTTGTTTTTGTTTTTCAAAGGTCCTTAGGTAATTCTAAGGAAAAGTCCTAGTTGAGGAGCACTGGGCTCAGCCACAGACCTTTAGCCTTGGAAGGAAACTCAGAGGTCCTGTGTCCATGCCCTCATTTTGAGGATGAGGAAACGGGCCCAGAGAGGTCAGGTGATGTAGTTCAGGACACAGAAAATTCAAATCTTGACCTTAGTTCTATCTGAGGTTTCTTAACATTGGAATTTATCCACAGCTAAGGGGCACATGCAGGGTCTTCTAGAATGTTATGAACACCCTGAAATTGGAGGCAACATTTCGTATCTGTATGTATGTATATTTTTCTAATGAGAAAGTTGATAGCATATATCAGAAAGATGAAGCCTCTGTAGTTGATGGGCAAGGTAGACCTATGTGTCTGGAGAATAAGACAGCATTTTCTGTTGTTGTGTGGTGGTGTATTCTACTGCTAAAGATATAGTAAAGACATCAGGAAATATGAATATAGAAGGGAATGAAGAAATCTGTTCCTTTTCTTCTCTACTAGGGAACCATGGGTAAGGGACAGTGAAGTACCCTGAATTCTAAGGAATGTGGCATCTTGCTCATTACCAGACTGACTGGTTGGAGGCCTGGTTGTAATTTATCAGCCATTAACACTATCCTAGACTGTAGTTTGCTCTGTAGGTAAAATTTGGATTGGTTATAGCTTCCTTTGGGGACCTTAATTCTTGTCTGTGGTATATTAATATGTCTTTGAAATACTGCATTTTGGAGTGTCACGGACTTCTTAGTACTCTCTGAAAAGCAATTTAAAAAGCAATTTTGTAATTTTATGTAATAACTTTATTTCCAGAGGATGTCTACAGTTGCTTTCGCTTCCTACTTAATGTTTTTTCAGATGAGTTCATCTTCCTTCCAGGAAACGCACTAAAGGTAAATCCTTACAACCAAAGAGCAAGTGTGTTTGCAGTGTGAGTTCTGGAAATGTTAGGCTTGGATTCACAGATGTGTCTTCCCTTTCTTCAAGGCTATGTGCAGCAGAATTAAAGAGAAACTTGGACACTCATAGTTCAGCGAACTCTATTTTGATTCTTGCTCAAGTTTAATCAATAATTTAGGGATTATTTGGTGAGAGGAGAGTCATTCTTTGAACCATTAGTGCAGCTACTATAAATAAACCAACTCTATTTTGTTAAAAATTTAGCAACCAGCACACATTTTCCTGTTAACAACTTGTTGAAATGAGTCAGGCCTTTTGCTTTGAGATTAGAGAGCGATGGTCTTACCTGGTGTAGACAGCTGTGAAGGATCAGGCTCCCAGAGCTGGACAGCTGGTTTGCTGGAGTGGAGTCTGGCGGTGGGGGTGGTGCAGGATAGACAGAAAGTGGGTTAGATTTCTGTATGCTGTGCTAAGGAGCACAGGTTTCATTCAGCAGAGGATGAAGGAAGCAGTTTTTGAGCATAAGCCTAATTCTAAGTATTTTTAGGACTTGTTGTATGCACTTCCTATTTAAATTTATGGAGTGTGGCTGTGCAAAGTGAAAGAAAATCCATCACCCAAGTCATGATGTCTAAGGCTCACACATTTTTTGTTTGTTTGCTGTGTTTGAGGTTTAACATTTTGAGTGTTAGAACAAGTGCTCTCTGGCTAGTGTCTAACAACCAGAACTGTTTGGAAAGGGTGGTGGAATTAGCTGGTGTTCTCTTGTTCTGGGGGCACATGGCTGCATATCCTGAGACCAGCAGTGTACTTGTTAACCTAAATTAGTGGGTGCATTCTGTCTCCTCCCCTCCCCTTCCAGGACTTTGAAGAAGGCTGTTTCTTACTTTGTAAAAGTGAGACCATACAAATGACGACAAGGGACATCCTAGTTACAAAGAAAGGAAATACTGTGTTAGAATTTTTAATAGGACTCTTTAAGCCTTTTGTGGACTGTTATCAGGTATGTAAATCTTTTGCAAATTCTCCTTCATCCTCTCATATCAAATATAACTAAGACTTTCCCACCTTGTACTTATTTCTGGTCTGAAGGGCAGGTATCTTCCCCAGGTGGATAGAACTAGAGAGATTGATTAATAGGATGAATGCTTTCACCTCTCAGGTGAGACTTTGCTTCTTGCATACAGGAGGTTTGTTCTATTACAGACCCAAGAGGATAACAGCTTTATGATGCCACAAGCACAGTATTCCTGTAACAATTATACCCAAGCATTGTCATACTGTATCTTACATCTTTTGTTCATAGCATGTAGCAAGGTGTTTGATACATACTAGGCAGTCAATAAATGCAAGATCTGAAGGATACATAAAGTCAGTTATTTATATTACTAAGTGCTAATGCTGGAAGGGAAAGAAAAAGTTCAAGTGCAAGTATCTGAGAGTTTGTCAGAGCTCTAAGGAGTGGTTAAAGACAGGGGATGGTATATACGCCCACCAGGAGCTGTGCAAGGGTTCAGAGGGAGACAGGGAGTTTGAGATAAAATCCTTCAGAGGGGCTCCGTACATATTTGGGAGAAGAGGACTCAATGGCTCTCAGCTCTGTGCGCTGGTGAGGTACCCAGGACCGCCTTTCTGGCAGAGTAGTGCTGTGGTCAATGAAATAACCCATCAGCCTCCTTGCACAAAGTCTAGCACTTGGTAGGTGTTTTATAAATGCTCCTTCTACCTTTAAGCACCTCTCTATGGTAGAAATCATCAAGTGTTTTAGGACCTAGCATGTTATTAGCTGTTTTTAGAGGAAAAACAAAGTTACAGGGGCTGGCCCTGTGGCGTAGCGGTTAAGTGCTCGCACTCCACTGCTGGCGGCCCGGGTTCGGATCTTGGGTGCGCACCAACGCACCGCTTGTCAGGCCATGCTGTGGCGGTGTCCCACATAAAGTGGAGGAAGATGGGCACAGATGTTAGCTCACGGCCAGTCTTCCTCAGCAAAAAGAGGAAGATTGGCATGGATGTTAGCTCAGGGCTGAGCTTTCTCACAAAAAAAAAAAAAACCAAAGTTAAAAAAAATCTGGCACCTCTCTCCCTAAGCAGCATAGGCTATATTAAGCTGATAGTAAATTTACTTAACTTGCAACCCATTAAAGTGAGAAATTATATTTTAATAAATGTCAATATTATTTCAAACTGTTTTTTTTTCTAATTGTAAACACTGATACAAGCTCAAGAGAGACCTCCTAAAAATTCTGCAGCTTTTCTGTGCTCAAACTTTGGAGGGTCTTTATTCTGCTCTAATATAATATATCATTCTGTTAAGAGGGCAATGTAAAATTATTTACTGTTGTATTATCTGCTCTTTTTCTCTTTCTGTTCCTCTCATCCTCCCTGTTAAAATCAGATAATTTGCAAATACCTCTTGAATGAAAAAGAAGACTACTTCACTGAGAAACAGTACTTGGCTGGTGTTAGAAAATTCGCAACTCAACTTCTCGATCAAGGTTAGTCACACTTCTGTAGGTGGTGATTTCTTTTAGTTGAGAATAAAAAGTGGTCCACTAACTCTTCCTCCCCCTCTGTTTTAGGTGCCTCGCAGTGTTATGATGTGTTATCTTCTGATGTACAGAAAAATGCATTAGCAGCTTTTGTGAGGCTAGGGGTGGTAGAGAAGAAGAAGGAGTAAGTACTATACCGACTCCCCTGGGTGCAGCGGGGCAGTGATGACTAGTAACAGTTGATCCAGAGAGAGATGGAGAAATGTGTGATCTAGTGAACATGATGTGCTTCACTCATCCATCTCCAGATAGTTAAGTCACTATGAGTTACCATGCACATTTTATATGGTTATGAATAAAAAAGATATTGAAGCAAAGAAAGTGCTTTAGGCTAGCATTTTGGCCTTGACCTAATATTGAAATTTATAGATTAATTATAAGAAGGATTTTTTGGGAGTATAGTGTAGTGTGTGTGTATACACTTACATATATGCACATACAGATGGGTATGTGTACTTAGACAGATGTTTACTCTTCTGAGTGAATGAATTTAAGAGTGATAAAGTGTAGTGGGTAAACTCTCCCAGTATGTCTCTTATGTGGTCGAAACAATGAAGCATGAATCCAGGAAGTAGGACAGGAGCAAGAGGCCTTTTTAATTATTTAAGACTGGCTTTGGGCCAGCCCCGTGGCGTAGCGGTTAAGTGCGTGCGCTCTGCTGCTGGTGGCCTGGGGTTCGGATCCCGGTCGCCCAGCGAGGCACCACTCGTCAGGCCATGCTGTGGCGGTGTCCCATATAAAGGAGAGGAAGATAGGCACAGATGTTAGCCCAGGGCCAGTCTTCCTCAGCAAAAAGAGGAAGGATTGGCATGGATGTTAGCTAAGGGCTGATCTTCCTCAAAAAAAAAAAAAAAAAAAAGGGCCGGCCCCGTGGCTTAGCGGTTAAGTGTGCGCGCTCCGCTGCTGGCTGCCCGGGTTCGGATCCCGGGCGCTCACCGACGCACCGCTTCTCCGGCCATGCTGAGGCTGCGTCCCACATACAGCAACTAGAAGGATGTGCAGCTATGACATACAACTATCTACTGGGGCTTTGGGGGAAAAAATAAATAAATAAAAGTTTAAAAAAAAAAAAAAAGACTAGCTTTGAGGAAAACTATTTAAAAGTAGTCTTACTATATAAATAATGAAGATTGTGTTTTCCCCCTAGTTTATGCAATAAGAAAGCTTGCTTACTTTTTCTTCTAGAAATAGTGACTTTATATTTAATGTGAATGAACCTGCCACAGCAAAATTAGAAGAAATGCTTGGTAAGTACCGTTTAATAAAATATGATGGATTTTCACATTGTGTTTATCATCAAATAGTAAAACAAGAAAGTATACTATGGCACCAAATGCTTTATTAAAATGAACAGCAATAGAGTTTTAATATAAACAGAACTATTTATATTATCTAGAATTTTCTTGAGGAAAATGAGAAAATGCAAAGAAAATTAACAGAGAAAACACAACAAGCATAAAAAAGGCAGTCTTATACAACATAAAAATTATCAGCTCCTAAAGTAACTAATCAGGGTCCGAGATCTAGACCCTTCACATCTAGGCTTGGTGGACATGGAGAAAATACCTCTCATTGTAGTGCATGGATTCATTCTCTCCCTCTCCACTCTTGGATCTCTTCTTTCCTAGGTAAGGGGTTGGGGTCAGTGTCCACATCAGAGAGACTTTCTGAACTCAGAATTGAGGGCTGATAGCACATCCTTGGGAGAATAATCCGACCCTTATTCTTCTCCAGATCCTGTCAGCTTAAATAATCCGACCCAAAAAGGCAGGGGCATTTGTTTATGGTATACAGTAAGAGTCAAGAGTGTTGATATAAACAAAGAGATATAAAAAGTCAGAGGAGGTAGTGAACACTTCTCATAGGAATGATGGGGTAATCTTAGAAGGGGAAGGTATTAGCGTTTGAAAAAAATAATCTGCTAATTATATGGAATAAGTACTAAATCATTGAGTGGATATTCTTACAAGTAGTGTTTTTGTACCTAATCCTAATTTAGTACATTTGTCAAACTTGTATGGAAGAGCTTTAGATAGATGTCTGCTGGGATTTGGGGAAAACCTGGATGGGGCATATGGTTAAAGGAGAATGGTTGAAGAAAAAGGGTAGAAGGGCAAAGGACTAGTTGACATAAATAAGGAAGGTGAAAATACTAGTTTCTTCTTGAAGAAAATATGTAGGTTGAAATCCCAGACTTCTATTTATATTGTGTCTGAAATCTCAGGATATGTAACCTTGAAACTAATTTTGAATTTGGTAAGGGGGCATATAGCTAAAACAAACACAAACACCTTCATTCGGTGAGGATGATAATGTGGGTGTGAACATACTAGAACATACTAGACTTGAAGTTCAGAAAACACGACTGGGTTCAAATCCTGGCTCTGCCCCTGGCTGGGGTGTGCTGGCCATGCCCATTACTTCTTTGAGACGCTGCTGCTTCTCCTGCAGAGGGGGCTCGTGTCTCCACTGGTGCTTTGCGAGCCTGTAAAAAGTGTCAGGTGTTGCTCTTTTGCCAGTGGCTTAAACAGTTGTACAAGGAAGGGCAAACTCAACATCATTTCATGAGCTGTCTCTCTTTTTTTGTCTTAGGTTGTAAGACACCAGTAGGAAAACCAGCGACTGCAAAACTTTAATAATTGCCAAAGAGTTATGGAAAATTTGATCATAGAATTACTGTCATTCAAAGACTCTTATTACAACAAACAGGGAAGTAAAGAAAGAGACCCATCTTCTCGTACTTCTTGAGACTTTGAGAACAGTGGGCTCAGTAGAGAGGAAGAGATGATCAGTGTAAGTAATCAGTGTCATCTTCTCCACCACAATAGTTAAAAAGGCATTTGTATCCAGCTCTGTGTGTGTTTTAAAATAAAACAGTCTTTTGGAAACATGTTTGGAAAAACAAAGCCCAGCTCCTATTTCACTAATGCTCTTTGACTTATTACATGTATTAAACTTTTCCGTTGATTTCTGAATTAAAGTGTGACATCAACACTAAAGGTTGTGGCTATCAGAAGAAAACTGCTGGAAAGGGCATATCTTGCATTTCTCGTGGCTTTCTTTAATTAAAATTGCCTCAAACGAGTACACGTTTCACAGAGATGTATAATAAATAAGCTAGTTTATATTAAATTTTGCCACCCAAAGGCCTTAATCAATGAAACTGAATTAGAGAAAGTGCTTGCAACGAGGAGAAGTTGTATGATGTATCATAGGCTGAAGAATTCAAGGGAAGAAAAGTTTGAGATAAGATGGGTGAACACCAAAAGCCTTGATAGCTAACCACTTCTGGAAGTGACATTTAAGCTGAGAATTAGGATAAGCAGGAGCCACCCTCAAAGTATGGAGTTGGGGTGACGGAGGAGGGGACAGAGGGGTGGAGTCTACATTCAGAATAATGGTCAGTGTGTCCTGGGGTTGGGTCTAGAGGACCTGAAAGACCAACATGGCTGAAACGAGTCATGGATGCTGACATTAACAGGAAAGGCAGGTGTATTAGTCTGCTTGGGCTGCCATGATGAAATACACAGAGTGGGTGGCTTAAACAGCAGAAATTTGTTTCCTCACAGTTCTGGAGGCCACAGGTCCAAGATCAAGGTACCAACCAGGTGGATTTCATTCTGAGGCCTGTTTCCTGGGCTTGTAGGAGGCCAGCATCTCACTGTGCGCTGACATGACCTCTTCTTTGTGCACATGGAGAGAGAGCAAGCTCTCTGGTGTCTCTTCTTATAAGGGCACTAATGCCGTCAGACCAAGGCCCCGCCCTCCTTACCCCATCTAGCCCTAATTACTTCCCAAAGGCTTTCCAGATACAATCACATTGGGGGTTAGGGCTTCAACATCTGAATATGTGGGCCACAATTCAGTCCATAGCAACAGGCATCAACATATACAGTGGCTTATGGGCCGGCCTGGTGGCGCAAGTGGTTAAGTGCGCACGCTCCGCTGCCGCGGCCCAGGGTTCGCCAGTTCGGATCCCGGGCGCACACCGACGTGCTGCTTTGCAAGCCATGCTGTGGCAGCGTCCCATATAAAGTGGAGGAGGATGGGCACGGATGTTAGCCCAGGGCCAGTCTTCCTCAGCAAAAAAAGAGGAGGATTGGCAGATGTTAGCACAGGGCTGATCTCCTCACAAAAATAATAAATAAATAAAGTCTTAAACAAAAAAAACATATACAGTGGCTTAGAGACTCTTGTAAAACACTTGAATTGCAATGTATATGCCATGGGAAATGTTGAAAAGTTTCTCAACATGTGGTTCTAGGACGACCTGTATCCAAATTCCTGCAATGTGCAGTTGTTCCCCAGAGGCCAGGCTGTTTCTGCTGCACATTCAAATTGGAGAGCCATTGCACTAGTCCATGCATTGGTGGCAGACGGGTCTCTCCATGGCTCTGCTTGTTTGGGAAGCCAGAGAGCATTCACGTGTGTTGAGACTGACTAAAATTTGAGGAGTCTCAATTGAACAGTGTTCTTGGCTGAGGATTTTATGGCATGCTAGCTAAACAAGGACACTGAGCTGCTGCCCTCCAGGGAAAGACAGGGTGTGAATCCAGAGCAATTGGGAGACTGGGACCCTGGCCAATTCTTGCTGAGTAGATGTGCCTTAGAAAGAATCCCCATATACCCAATTTGGTTATTTGTTTTTCTTTTCCATGGCACTCATGCTGTGCATATGAATGTTGAAGACTGAGTAAGATGACTTTTATTTACTTTTAGACCTGTTTGTTATACATTTCAGGTTTGGGGACAAAGACTGGAGTTTTGGGTGCAAGTAGCTGTAGACTTGTCTCCTGGCCAGCTCTGACATTAGAGTCAGCCAAGTAAACAGATAGTGGAGGGGCAGGAAAGTGGAGTGCAGCCAAAATCAAAGGCGGCTTTGCAGCGGAGCCAGCTGTAAGAGATGGCATAGGGAGGGCTTTATCTCCTCTCAGTCTCTTCAAATGCTCCCAAGTCACCCACGTAAACTGAAGTCTTAGTCAAGGAATAGCATGCTTCCTACATTAATATAGTGTCAAAGCATGTACCTTGTACCCTGGCCCACACATGCTACTGCACACACCCATAGTTTTAAACCACACTGCTGTCCCTAAGCCCTTCCACTCTCTCCTATCTATCAATTCTGGAGCTGCCACTGCTTTGAAGTAAATAAAAAGAAAGGCCCATAGTATCTGGTTTTCCAAGACAGTCTCCTACCCAAACACAATATAATGTGGCAGCTAAAACTGCAGGGTCTGGAGACCGGCTGGGTTTGAAACTCTACCATATACTAGCCCTGTGTTCTTGTGTGATTTACTTAAACTCTCAAAGCCTCAGCTTCCTTATCCGTAAAATGGGCGTGATAATAATACCTACCTCTTGTGGTGGTTGTGAGAAATGTGAAGAAAGTGTTGGTTACATGTTTGAAATAGTCCTTGGCACTAAGTGTAACCTGTTATTACTACTAGTACTGACTGGTGGCTTCTCAGAGAAAACGAGATTGGACACTTTCAGAGTGGTTAGTATGGCCACAGGCACTTGCATCCCTGACCCGTAACCTTGAGAGCCTGCCTCAGCCCGCTGTTCAGCTCAGCAGCATCGTGCTGTGGTGCATTGCTCCGAGATCTCACTCACAGATACCTGCCATCTTCCAAGTTCAGTGGAGCCATGGTAGAAATCACAACTTTTCCCTACGTCCCTTCTTCCTCCCACCAGTGGAATGGAATCATTCAGTGTAGGGTAGAAAATAGATTTTGAAGTATGAATCTCCCATCGATAGGTTTTTCTATTCTCCCATCGTTTTTCTAGAGCCCCCCGCCCCGGGCTGTTTGCTGTCTAGGTTGCTACGTAGCTGTCCACCTGGGAGTTCCCTTCACCGTTATCTTGACAATTCCCTTCACTTTTCTGTGTGGATTCCCCTCTTTCTTGGATCCCACATTTTCCTTTTTGTTTGTTTATTCATTTTAGGGAAGCCCATCTCCAGGTATAGGAGGGATTAATATTTTAGACCTTGCATACTTAAAAATATTTTTCTGCTCTCATCTGATGGTTTAGCTGAGTATAGAATTCTAGGTTAGAAATAATTTTCCCTCAGAATTTTGAAAAGCATTTCTCCATTGTTTTGTAGTTTTTAAAGTTGTTCTTTTGAAGTTAAAGAACATTCTGATTGTGAACACAAACTATTTGCTCTCTCAGTTGTTAGACTCTCTTCTATAGTTTCTGAAATTTCAGGTGTGCTTTGTTGTCAGTGTTTTTGTGTGTGTGGCTTAAACAAATTTATTATCTTACAGTTTAGGAGGTCAGAAGTCTGACCACATTCCATGGCTCATGGCACCCTTCAAAGCCAGCAATCTTGGGCTAAGTCCTTCTCATGCTGCATCTTTCTGGTTCTCTCTTATGTCTCCCTCTTTCACTTTTATTTTTTTAAATTGAGGTATAATTGATATTATATTAGTTTCAGGTGTACAGTGTAATGATTTGATGATTAGATATATTGCAAAATGATCACCACAATAAATCCGGTAAATATCTGTCACCATACATAGTTTCAAAAAAAATTTTTTTTCTTGTGATGAAAACTTTCAAGATCCAATCTTTTAGCTACTTTCAAATATGCGACACAGTATTATTAACTATAGTCACCATGCTGTACATTACATCCCCATGACTTATTCATGTTAATAACCTGAAATGTGTACCTTTTGGCCACCTTCACCCATTTCACCCACCCCCCCAACCCTGCCTCAGGCAACCACCAATCTCTTCTCTATATCCATGAGCTCGGGTTTTTTTGTTTGTTTTTAGATTCCACATATAAGTGAGATCATATGGATTTTTTTTTTTTTTTGAGGAATAGTGGCCCTGTGCTAACATCTGTTGCCAATCTTCCTCTTTTTCTTCTTTTTCTTTTTTTTTTCCTCCCCCAAGCCCCAGTACATAGTTATATATATATCCTATTTGTAGGTGCTTCTAGTTCTTCTATGTGGGATGCCACCTCAGCATGGCTTGATGAGTGGTGAGTAGGTCCAAGCCCAGGATCCGAACTGGTGAACCCCGGGCCGCCGAAGTGGAATGTGCGAACTTAACTGCTATGCCACTGGGCCGGCCCTGGATTTGTCTTTTTTTGTCTGACTTAGTTCACTTAGCATAATGCCCTCAAGATCCATCCATGTTGTTGCACATGGCAAGATTTCCTTTTTTTTGTGGCTAAATAGTGTTCCATGTGTATATATACCACATCTTCTTTATCCATTCATCCATCAGTGGACACTTAGGTTGCTATTGTAAATAATGCTGCAATGAACATGGGGGTGCAGATGTCTTTTCGAGTTAGTGTTTCATTTCCTTCAGATACATACCCAGAAGTAGAATTGCTGGGTCATATGGTAGTTCTATTTTTAATTTTTTGAGGAACCTCCATACTGTTTTCCACAGTGGCTACACCAATTTACATTCCCACCAGCAGAGCACAAGGGTTCCCTTTTCTCAATATTCTCGCCAACACTTGGCTATATCTTGTCTTTTTGGCAATAGCCATTCTAATAGGTGTGAGTGATATCTCATTGTGGTGTTGATTTGCATTTCCCTGATGATTAGTGATGTTGAGCACCTTTTCATGTACCTGTTGGCCATCTTTGGATGTCTTTGGAAAAATATCTATTCAGATCCTCTGTCTGTTTTTTAACTGGATTTTTTTTTTGCTATTGAATGTATGAGTTTTTTATGTATTTTGGATATTAACCCCTTATCAGATATATGATTTAGCAAGCATTTTCTCCCATTCAGTAGGTTGCCTTTTCATTTTGTTGATGTATTGTCAGTGTTTTTAAATCCTTTATTCTGGGCCCTCGATGGATGTTTTCAATAGATATGTGATCTTCAGTGCTAAGTCTTGTATTATTTCTTTTATAATTGACTCCCTTC